TTACTATATATGCACACACACACACACACACACCACAGGTATAGTGTATGATAATATGTATGTGTATATGTGTATATATATAGTAAATGGTAAAGTACAGTTTAGTGAATCTTACTTTTTTTTTTTTTACTTCTAATTCATTACTGAAAAACCCTTGTTATTTTACAGGATATGCCCATAGAATTTGTAAGACTTTACCAGTTTTAGACCACCGGGGCAGTATGTACTTTAATGAGCAATATATGACGGGTTCTGCATCAAGTAGAATGAATAAAACTTAGCATGATGGGAGGGCTTAGAAGCTGATAAGATTTTACATTTTCTAAGAGTCTTGATTATGTTTTATAAATTACAGGCCCAGTTGCACTGTTTAGGTATCTATGGGGTTTGTTTATTTGTTTGGATTTTAATTTTTTGTTGTAGTGGTTTGCACCCACATGTGTGCATGGGTGCCCATATGTGTTATGAATGTTCTTTCTCAAAAACAAATCCATAGTAGAAAATCTGAATTTTAGCATTTCTTTATTTTAGCACATGGGACATGCTAGCTTCCTACTGGCTATCACCTAATTGGGTTGTTTTTCTTACTTATCATATTTTCTTATTTCCATATAATTATAGTTGTGTGTTCTTCATGAAAGCATTTTAGCCAAAAAGCCCAAATATCTTAATAACCCAATTATATGTGGCAATAGGAACATTTTTTAAAACCTGAATTTACTCTTACAAATATATAATTAAACAACATATGGTCTATTATGTGCATGGTCACATATAAAAATCAGTGGTGTGGTTCAGGGTCCTCTAGGAAACAGGTAACACCTTCAAATAGGGTGAAGAAAGGAACTATTTACAAACATGGTGCCAAGTTAAGGGAAACCAGCAAGGTGGGGAACACAACCTTGGCCTAGCAATAGTGGGGCTCTGTTTCTACCCTTGACATGAAGGACAATGAAGAAGAGCAGGTACAAAATCCACAAGCAGCTATAACTATGATTTTAGTAGCTGTTTCTTTCATAGAGGAGGGTAGGCCCAGTCATCAGGTAACCTGGACCTAGTAGGGTGGCAATAGGAGTGATACCTGCCCTCTTTCCTTACATCCTCTTGTCTCTCAGCACCTTCCATTGGTCAAACCCAACCAGAACCCAAAAGCCATAGCAGCCTATCGGATGCAATCCATTGGAGCACTGATTCCTTGACCACAGACCCTGGGGTACCCACTGAGGGCAGATCTGAGGGACAAAGAGAGAGCACAGCATTGGAAACTCTCCCCCAAGAGCAGACTCACACTGTTCATTTTATTTATTCTTTCGTTTATGTATCTATTTAGGTTGGACTGGGGTTTGAACTCAGGGCTGTGTGCTTGCAAAGCAGGTGCTCACAAAGCAGGTGCTTTCCCTCTTGAGCCACACCTCCAGTCCATTTTGCTCTTGTTATTTTGGAAATGGGGTCCTGCAAAATATTTTCTGTGGCTAGCCTTGAACTGCTGTCCTCCTGATCTCAGCCTCCCAAATAGTTAGGATTATATGTGTGAGCCCTGGTTCATATTGTTTGTTTTTTAAAGCTTTGCTCTCATTTCCAGGGATTGCACTCTGAGCAGGAATTATAATGCAAAGTGGGGTCCTTGTCAGTCTGGAAAAATGAATCAGAAACTTCTGGCAAAAGCGATCAGCTCTTCCCTCTCCTGCTTTGTGGGCTTATCCCTATGCTCACATGTCTTAAAAAGTAGAGCAACAGCTTTGTGTGACAGCAGAACACAACACACACATGGAAATTAGAGTTTTCCTGAGAAATACCTTGAAATAATGATATGTTTAATTGAACCACATGAACTAAAAATAACTTTACTAGTTAAAAATACAATTATTAGATGGGTATAGTATAAAACCACAGGCATGAATATTTGTCTTTATAATGAGCTGTTTCTAATTATTTGTGCTTGTTTGTACTTTTTTAAGAATAGTAAGTACTGAAGATTTTGGTAAAATATAGGAGAAAATAATGAATTGGGAAAAGACTGTTAATCTGTTTTCCTAGCAGGATACAGTATTCTTCAAGAGAATAGTTGGAGAGTCCCAAGAAGAGAAGAAACAGTCACTACTTTCTGACTTAAGCTCTAATGCAAGAGGCAGTGCAAAACAAAATCACGCAAGCACGCTTTATTAAGGCATATTCAATTCAACCTTTACTTACTGGGTTCATTAATGAGATGTGTAACAGCCCTCAAAGATGTTAATTTAGGTTGATATTGGGGGTTTTCCTTTGAAAAGCAATGTGTGAGAAGTTTCTATTGTAGAATTAGAGCCCAGTTGAGCCTACAGTGAGCCCTACTTACTAACACTTCACTTCTCCAGCCATGTAGTGATCATCCACCATCCAAGTAATGATGTAGAATCCCTGCAGTTCCTCCAAACTAAGTCATCAAATGACTGTCCATTATGGTCATCAGACTGCATTTACTAACGTACAACAGTGATCTACAATAATGCTTATGTCAGATGTGTCTGCAGTTTCAGCCACCCTAAATGCAGTAGGTAGGCTAGAGACAATCAAGAGGCCTCAGAGTAGAAAAAAGCATAAGCATCATGGGGGGCGGGGGGATAGTACTAGGAAGGGCCATGAATGCATAACGGGTGCTAGTGGTCAACAGAGGGATGGTGTTGAGGTCTCTAACCATGCTCTTTTACTTGATTTCTATGAAGGTAAAATAGGTGTGCTCCATTTGTGAAAATTTAGCAAACTATCTGCTATGTCATGTTCTCTTTTACGTGTTGAACTTTATACAAAAGTTAGTATAAGCTGGGCATGGTGGTGCAACCTTGTAATCTCAGCACTTTTGAGGCTGAGGCAAAAGGATCGTGAATTTGAGGACAGCTTGAATATGTAGAGAGATGCTGTGTCAAAAAAATGTGTGTGTGTGTGTGTGTGTGTGTGTGTGAAATAATCAGTATTCCTGATACATTTATCTTTAAAGTGGGAAATGGCTCTCCTGTTGTCAAGATACTTTTGATTTCATTCTCCACTGGTCATGGGAGATAGCCAAGTGAACAACTAAGAAAAGACCACATAGACATAGAAAAGAAAATGAATATCAATCAATTTTAGGGGTTAGTATCCAGGGATATAGGTATTAGAATCCCTAGAAGTAGAGTTCAGTAATTGAGGCTCTTATATGTCCAGATCCTCAAGAGCAATTCTGTTATGTTTACCATTACTAAGGCTGGGGAACTTTTAGAAACCTTCTAGGACAAGTTAAAATTAAAGATTTACCACTTAATGGTAAACTCTACTTCACATAAAATGAAGCCATCCCCAACAGTCCTGAAAAACAGGTATTATTGTACTACTTTTGGGGGGTGTTCTTTTGGTTAATCTGTATTTAATAGGGAATTCTATTTAAATAAGTCATCAAATCCTTAAATTATTCCATATAACTGAACTTTTACTGTAATGTGAAATCAGCTACAAAGTAAATTTTAACTGTAAGGAGACATTACACATAGATTGCTTCACAAATGTAGAAACAATTGGTATCATCAGAGTCAGGTAGGCTAAAAAACATACATACAATGTTAGAACCAGACAAAACATTGGGAATCCTTCATTCAGTCCTTCTACTTTACAGTGGAGGGAATTTAAGTGCAGAAAGGTTAAACTGATTTTCCCCAAACACACAGAAAATTCTCTGTTGTTTTCTGGTTGCAAATCAGTTTCTCACTTGGTGATCTCTCTTTCCTTCACTCAGCCTAGCTATATAGGTTAGCAGTCTAGAGTCAGATCAACTCCCATTTGAATATAAGCTCTCAGATTTGACAGTTGGGTCTGGTGACAGATGCCAGAAAATATTGCCTGGGCATTAATTCAGAGCTACAGACATATATTAAGTTGCTGTATAGGTGGTATCCTGAGGACACCCCTGTAAAACAGAACTGAGGTAAAAGGGAACTGTATAGCTTGCTAACCTCTCTTCATAGGAAGGAGATCAAGAGGAGAGGAAGGCCTCCATGGTGGAGACTATCCCAAAGTTTGGGGCCATCTTAGCCTCCGGGCCTGACTATTGACATGACATTGGATTGTTGTCCTTCCCTTAAAGTCCATTTTAAAGATGCTGAGCATGGCTTGTACTCCCAAGTGTCACTGAGTTCTGGAGCCTAGTTGTAGGCTTTCTCTAGCACTGTTTGCACCTGAGTGTAGACTTCTGCCATGTAATGGAGATAGTAATAAGACTCACCTTAAAAGAATATTATGGAAATGAAGGGACAATATATAAAAGCATGTAGTAAGATACTTGACACACAAACATGTAACAAATGTTGCATACAACTAGTATTATTCAGCTATAAAACAATAGATTTGGTGTTATTCAAGAACTTGGATTACTTTGTGATTTAAGCTTCTCTTTACAGAGTGTATTACTTTAAAAAAAAGATGGCTTTGGTGAAGCACTAGATAATAGAAGTTGATAGAGACTTACCGGTTAGAAACTGAATCTAGTTGGAGTTTTCTGACTATTGTTTCATAAAGAGACAAACATATGGTTGTATCTTACTTTTTTCAAGTCTGGTCTTTGGGTTAAAAGACCTAAGATCAAGCTCCTGTCCCATCACTAATAAAAGGTGACAATGAGGGACTAGGGGTGTATCTTTTAGCAGGTGCAGGAAAGAAGGGAGAGAAAGAGGGAAGGAGGAAGGGAGACAGGGAGGAAGGAAGGAACGAATGAAGGAATGAAGGAATGAAGGAACAAAGGAAGGAAGACGGAGGGAGGAAGGAAGGAAGGAAAGGGAGGAAGACAGGTAGTGGGGGAGAGGGAGGGAGGAAGGAAGTCCATAAACATTTTATTAGACTATGCCAAGTCTCTTTAATATAAGGTTGATAATAATGGCTACTTGGTGAGTAGTTGTAGACCTTAGGTGAGAGAAAGTGTATATGAAGAGGCAAAAGCCTCTGTTGGAGATGAACTCAGAATGAGGAAATTCTAAGATGTATTTCCTTCTTTGCAGTTTCCATCTTGCTGCTGCGAAAGGACATGTGGAGTGCCTCAGGGTCATGGTCACACATGGTGTGGATGTGACTGCCCAAGATACTACCGGTATGTGGGTTTTAATCACGTAAACCAACAAGGCAGCCTGAGAGTAGGTGTCATGGAGGAGATCTGTACTCATTGTGGAAAATTTACTCTTTACATAAGCCAAGAGAAAGAAATCAAATCACCTTGATGGCTAGTCTTTGATGTTGTTTCCTTATTTGTCTATGCCTTTGTGTTTTCTTCATCATGGTTAGACAACTAAAGATTGTATGTTTCTTGTACCCCATTTTAAAAATTATTGTCTAAGATTATCTATGGATCAAGTGTATTCCTTAATTCTTGTTATTATGAATCACAGTATAAGATTAATAAGTGTAGAAAATTATTTGGTAACTTATTTCATCAATTAGCTGAAATAAGCTCTGTGGACAAAAGGCATGATCTTTAACTTGACTTTGGCTGCCCAGAGTTCTCTGTCCTTACTGACACACACATACTCCTAGGCTCTGCCCTCTAAAATTCAAATTCTGTTATCTGGAGGTTGCCAGTCAACTGGTGTGTTTTAAAAGCTTCCTGGGTGGTTCTAATGTGAAGCCAGTGCTGACAAATTATGAACAAGGCAAATGGAAAGAAGAGGTAGAGTATCCTATCTTGTACAAACACAGTCCTTCAGGAAGGAGCCCCTGGGGTGTCCAGCCTGGGATTCTGTCTCTGCTGGCTATGTGAAATGACCAAAGCAACTACTGATGGCTTTTTATTTCTCTATTGCACTTGAAAGTCTTGGCTTCTGATAGGTTTTTGTTAGTTTTTACCGAAATATGAAATTGGCCTAACTCTACTCTTTATCGAGACTTTTCATTAATCTACAGTGGATCCCTTTTCCTCTCTCCCAAAATTGGCCTCTTTATAGTAGGCATTTTGGAGGATTAGTCAGGTATTGGAAGAATGCTATTATTACCCATTAAAAGGTTGGAAACTAATGTTTTAGAAGACTGTGGTATGTTTTGTAGGGTTTTTGTTTTGGTTTGATTTTAGATAATCTCAGTGTTTGGGAATCTTTATCCTTTTGAGAATAGGGATTTTTTTTTACGACAAGCCAAGAACCACTTGAAATCAGGTTAGGTAAATGTGTCAAACTGGTAAAACCATTTTTGGTTAAAAATAGGGAGAGATGAAAGTAACCAAATGATTTTCTTAAGTAGTTTCATTGAGAGTTCTGAAAATTTTTTGAGAAACAGCAATCCTAGTAGGAGAATAAATGGTTTTCTTAAGTGACTACCGTGAGAATATTAATTTATGTTTCACTGATGAAAGTCCCAGTTACTTTGCCATAGTAGTTCTCATTAGTCTCAAACAGTTTTTATGGTTTGAGGATGAACTGATTGGCTCATCAGGACAACCCAGGTGTTCTCACTAAACTGGCTTCAAATATCGCCGCAGTATTACTGAGATGCATTCATCTTCAATCTGAAAATCTACTGAGATCTGGTACAAAAATCTGCTACCATGAGTCATACTGCCCTGTAGGAAAAAATTTTTTCAAAATATAAAATATACTGACCCTGTTTCTTTTCTTCTTCTTCTTTTTTTTTTTTGCAGTGCTAGGGATTGAACCCAGGGCCTTACCTGTGATAGCCAAGTATTCTACCACTTGAGGCCCGCCCCCTTCCCCTTTTTATTCTTTTTTTCCAGTTACAGGGTTTGAACTCAAGACCTGACTTCAAACCTTGATCCTTCTCCTGATCTCTGTCTCCTAAATAGATAGGATTATAGGCATGAGCTACCAGTGCCCGGCTCCCTTTTTATCTTTTTTATTAACAAAGTTTACAAGATGGTCAAATCAATATAATTTTCAACTTTTTAAACTATGCTCCAAATTAATAATTAGAAAGGAAGGGTTTTTAATATCAATTTTTAAGTTGTCCTTTCACATGAAATGCTTGCAATTCTGAGATTTTTTTATGAATGCCGTATAGTCAATTTTATGAGCAAAGTACTATCAGCAGATAAGACTGGGTGCAGTTAAGTACAGCATTAGCAATCATGTTAGCTTTTAGTGAGATGGGCATCTTAGCAGTGCCTGGCTTACTTAAGTGCTCCCTGCATTTGGACTTAAGCCAGACCACCTTTATTCTCTCTTATTTACTGGGCTGTTGAAGGGTTTCAGATTTCAAGAAAACAGAAAGATAGAAAAGTCTGACAATCACCACACCAAGACCTCTCATTTTAAAAGTCAGAAGAAAAGCCAGAGACTTATAGAAGACCATCACTTAATGCTTTTGTTTTGGGACAGTTTGGTTTTCCTGTTCCTTAATTTCCCATTTGCCAACAGTACCATAGGCAGGTAGCAATGGAGTGAAGAGGCCAGCTCCCAGACCATCTGTGAATTCACCTACATTATTTGTGTAGCACTCTTCATTGCTTGTGTGCTCTTGTTTAGAAAACAGCTCTCCTGGGCAAAACCAGAACTAGTAAGACAAATGCTGCTCAAGTTTTTTTGTTTTTTGTTTGTTTGTTTGTTTTTGGTTGTTTGTACATAGCAAGCTAGAGGAGAAGGAATTAAATGGAAGCATTACCAGAAGCATGAAGAAGACCAAAGGATCTTCTGTTTGTTATCAGTACTTCTCAAAAGCATTAGTTTTCAGACTCCCTTTATTAACAAGCATATACATTTGACACTAGGTGACAGAATCCAAATCCAAAATAAGAGTGGCTTAAGCATTAGAATTTCATATCTCTCAATTGAAAGACCCAGATAGGTATGATAGCTCTGCTCCACACCATGAGGACCCAGTCTCCTGTTGTTTCAGCATCCAGACTATTTCTGTGGTCCTAATGGACTAGGGTAGCTCTCCAGGGCTTTTGCATCCTAGCAGCAGCAAGGGGAAGGGCAGGTGTATGTGTGCCCACATGGTGCACCCACAGATCTACCATCATCTAATTGGATGACACGTGCACCGTGGCCACATCTGGACATATGGGAAACAGGGAAGTTCTGGGCAATAATTTGTCTAGTTAGAAAATCAGAGGTTTTGCCACAGAAGAAATTAGAAGCAGAGATTGAAGGATGACTTATGGTTCCCGCCTCACTCAGATACCTTAAATTGTCTCTTATCCCTTTGTGTACTTGTGAGGAGATGCAAGAGTGAGAGGTGGAGGCAGTCATTGGAGGGGAACTTATGAACCCTTCCTCTTCTCTATGGTGTCCAATTGCTGGGTTAGTTTTTTTGATTTCTCGGTGGCCTTCATTCCCTTATGTCCCCTGGTCCCACTCAAATTTGACACGTGAAGATGTGAAAGACAATCACATTCTACAGCTTTAGAGGATGAGTCACTCTAAGATGTAGCTGCAAGCTATAGCCAACAAATCCAGTTCATATTTTAATATGAACTATAAGAAATAAAATAAAGAAAACCAAAAAGGATTGCATAATTTATGAGGTCATGAAGGCCAAGAATCTACAACGATCAACATAACCTAGTCATGAAAATATTCCATCTACACACATGCAAAAATATCTTAGTATACATAAAACCACTGTGCAAATCTATATTGTGCTTTAAAAATGTGGAGAGACTAAAGGATAATTTTATAACTCTAAAACTAAGAATGATTATTACAAATAAATGTTTTACAATCTGATCTTCCTTCTCCTGGGAATATAAGAACATAAATGAGCTTGTGCTTCAGTGATGAAATTTGATGTAAGGATAAGGATTTCTAAAAATAATATCATTTAAATAGATTTAAAATTGTAAATACCAAATAAATTCATACTTTTTTGTTTAAATATTTTCTGTATTTGGAACCTCTGGTTTTTTTAAGAAAATATTTTAAGACTTATCTAGTTAAGTACCATTTAATTAATCATCTTATTCCTAAATGTTTCCACATTATAATCGGAAACTGATTTCTCAAAATTTGGTTTTTTGGTACTTGTTAGCCATATCTATGTATAGTTTGACTTCTGCAGTTTAAAAATTGATGCATGCATTTGAGAAGTATGTTTTCAGTTCTCTCAAACATTCCTGTGTCATATTAGTTTTTCCCTGTTTTCTCTAGCAATCTTGAGCATGGGATAAATAATCACTGAGGTAGTTTAGGGGAAGATGCTTTGTGTATGGGGTAGCTGAGCTTTCCTGCCTAGTCTTGTTCAATAATAGGATTCTTCCACTGCCTGTAATCCAGGACTTGTGGTTTATAAATAGCATTGGTCTTTTTATCTGGAGGCAGAGCTCTGCTTTAATGCACTCAAATTATGGTTGTCTTTGTTATTTGTCTGTAGGGAAATTGGTTCCTGATATTCCAGACAGATCCATAGCTATATGGGGGCCATACCTGTGCATTGTCTCCTTACAATAGAGTTCTGTCATTAATATCATATATTCTGTCCAGGAGAATTTGCATCTGTAAAGAGAATTTGTTTTAATGTTAACAATGAGAAGACATCTCACTTTAGTGTAATAGTGTCCAGGGAATGATTTGTTATTTGGGTTTTGAGTTATGCTAAGTGAAAAATACCTTTATACTGCTAGTTAGGAAAACATTGCAGGAGGAGGGAATAAAAGAAGTTTTGCTTCTCTAGAAACCGGGTACTTACTTCCAGGTATGACCTCAGGACACTGGAAATGAAATGAAAGCCTGTTATTTTGTTATGACATGTTGTTTAAATGTCCCTACCACATTGTCTTTGGAAAACTGTGCCTTTTGTCAGATGAATGGTGTTTGTGTAGAACAGCTTTTATTCACAGCATAGACAAGTTAATGCATTGCATGCACAATATAAACAGTTTCCAGCTTACAATCAGGATGTGTTCCAAAAGTTCATTTGTAAGGCATTTGTTTAAAACTTAGAATGTGCTTGTCTTAGAAATAGTGGTGTAAATGATGGATAGGGAGGGCAAGCTAGTGCACCAAAGCCTAGTTGGTGCATAATATAACTGAACTCACTGTTATGCTTTATTTGTCCTGGAAGGGAAGATCCTAGACAATAAAAGGTGCAAAAGATAGAAGAGATCTTTGTTTTCCTACTTTCAGGGGTCTCTTTTTCTCTTACTTCTTTTTAATCTTCTTCATCAGAAAGGAGTGGAGGAATTTTTGCCTTTCAGTATCCAACCCCAATTAAACAATACCCCCTCAGACACACCCTTAAGATCTCAGTATTTCTAAGAAGATATCTATACCTTTGACCTTACACAGGACTTTAGTTCCTCATGAGGCAGAGATTGGGAGGATGGCAGTTTGAGGCTAGCTCAAGTAAAAGGTTAGCAAGACCCCATTCTTAACCAACAAGCTGGACACAGTGTCATGTACTTGTCATCCTAGCTACGTGGGAGGCCATGGTTAGGAGGATCATGATCCCATCAGATCTCAAGACACCATCAGAAAAATAACTAAAACAAAAAGAGCTGAGGGCTTGGCTCAAGTGGTAGAGTACTTGCGAGGTCCTAAGTCCAAACCCAAGTACTGGAAAAAAAAAAAGGCAGAATTTGAAGGTGAGAGCAAGCCATGTCTATTTTAGGGGAAGAGAATCCAGGCTAAACATTGACCAGTTGCAGAAGCCCTAGCATGGGCATTTCTGCCCATATTTCATGGAAATGCTGTAGCCCATTTGTCAATAGTGGAGTTAGGAACATTAGGATTTCCTGAAGTTATCTGACCATAGAAACACCAGTTTCACATTGGAGTTAGAACAGAACTTACAAAACTGCTGCTTTAAAGGTGTGTTATTGTTTTACAACTCTTTCTTTTCTTCTAAAATAAGAATTTTGAAAATGTGAAAACTCTAGGTAATGTCCATTTGGGGCTGGAATGCATTTGGAGGAGAGGGAAATGAGGAGTGGAAAGAAGCCACATAAGTATGTGGGTCTCTAGTATGTTCTGCTAATAATGGACTGCCTCTTTTGGGTTTCTGTGTCAGGGTGTCCTTAGCTGGTGTATTGTGGGCGGGACATGTGGCATACACATTGACAGCTAAAAGCAGAACTGTGAAACTGTGAAGTCACATGTCATGAGTCTACCACAAACCTCAGAGAACAGCAGTTGGATCCCCTGAATGTTATCTGGTGGGCAGGATGCTCTGTATTCTCCCCAGTTTTGTTGCACTAAAGAATGTGAGACCTTAATCTTCAGAGGAACAATCCTGTCTTTGTTGGACAGGATTTTTGTCCTGTCTTTATTTCCTCGTAGTTGTCTTCAGTATTGAGATTTGAAAGAAATATGAAAATTGTGGCCTTTTCCCCAATTTCTGCTTTTTAATCCATTCAGGACATAGTGCTTTACATCTCGCAGCCAAGAATGGCCACCTGGAATGCATCAAGAAGCTCCTTCAGGTAAAGCAGTGATAACTTATAGTTATACCTGTGTCATTTTTAAATTTAGAGGTAACCTTATAAAAGAAGCAATACCTGCCTCACCACACACACACTCCTTTTAATACTACCCCGCAGCCCTGCTTCCTAAGCAGCCTCATTACTGGAATGACATCCAGGGACAAGATTGCTTCCATGGCAAGTCCACTGGCAGAGAGGAGAATCCTCATCAAAATTTGGAGTTTCTTCCTGGGATCAGCTTTTTTCCCCTTTGTCCTTTTTTTTTCCCTCCATGAAGGACTTGTACCCTCTACAGAGACAATTTTTGAAAAATTTTTTCTCACACTGCTGGAAGTCTGTGCCACATGAATCTTCAGTGTGAGAATTCTCTCTGTAAATTGTTAGTAGAATGCAGTTCTTCTGGAGAAGCAACTTTTCAACCATTATTTCCTTGTATGTAACTCAATAAGCTTTTAGTTCTTGGTTCCTGTTTAAGTACATGGTTTTATTCTTCTTTATAATTTTGAACCAACTACCTGATTTGATAATCTTGCCAGGAAGTTTATAATGATCCCTTAAAGTGATGACTTCCATAAATCTGTAAAGGAACAGATTTTCATGACCCCCCCCCAGCCCCTGCATAGCAGTCCATACAGTAATGTCCAGCTGTTGCCAGTCAGAATCCAAGCTGGTTGTTTTCAGGAACAGCACAGAGCAATAAAATATGTTTGGAGTACTATCTGTCCCGTCAAGCTCTTGTCTCAGTCTTCACAAGCACTGTTTGGGACCCAGCATCTTGCTTTCATTTGGCTTTGGAATTTGAATGCAGAAATGTGGTCACATTCTTTAACTTGTCCCACTCTTGATCACACAGCTTCTTGTCTTGCATTGCATGGTGAACACTGCTGCCAACTCCAGGAATGTTTAACCTTAACAGGTCTTTGAAGCAAAATTCAAGAAAAATAGATCAATGTCCCTGATGTTGTACTATGAGGCTTCTTCCTGAAGAGAGTTAAAATAGAGCTTTTCTTACTGACCTCCTCCAGGACCAGGCTCTCAGAATAAATGAAAATCACTCACTTGACCAAGTACCCACATCTACACCCTCTCTCCTTACCTCAGTTGTGTGTGTGTGTTTTTGATTGTGTTTTCCATCTCTGTTCCCATCCTGGCTTGGCTTTTTCAGACCTTGCATCTGGCTCTGATTTTAAGGAAGATTTAACCTGACAAGCTGTAAGTCTTTGTGGGCCAGGACCAGATATTCTAGCCTCTAATGTAATTTTATATCTGGTTATGCAAATAGATTGGTTTTTCTCTGGAATCTTTGAAGCCTTTAAACAGTTCCTTGTGCTGTTCTAAAATTAGGCCAAGGCTTGGTAAGTAGTAACTTGATCGCCATTCTTCTTACCACGAAAGGACAGGCATTTCACTCTAAGGTAGCCTGTTCTTACCTCCCCAACTTGCAAATTTCTGACCTATGTTCTTTCTGAATAGTTGTTAAAAAGCTTAGTCTATACTATCCTCTTGCTGGGTCACTTCCCTTGGGTGCCAGCCTCTCTAGTCAATTGCTCACCTCTTGTCTTTGCAGCCCAGGCTCTGTTCAGTGTGCCCCCCACACACACCACTGTCCCCTTCTCTAGTCACCCCTCCACTCTTAGCACTTAGTGATCCCTCTGGGCTCTCTAGGCCTTTGCTCTGTCAGTCTGTCTGCTGGATGTAGTTTCTGTCTCCACAAGGCAATGAGCACAAATAGAGCCTTGTGGGATTCTGCAAATTCTAATGAACTCTCTTTCTTCCTGAGTGCCAGCTAGTCCTGCCACCCTTTCTTATACTGTGTTCCCTTAGCACCATGTCTGATGTTCACCATTGAGGATAAAATGGAAAACAGAGCAGTCTCTATGCTGGTAGAGTTCAGAGTCTGGTAAACAAGGACACAAATAGACAAGTTACACAGCACTAAGAGGGAAACCAACAGGGTATGGAGAAGTGGTGGTTCAGGGAAGGCCTCATGGAGGAGGAGGTGATGCATAAACTGAGACCCCCCCCCCACAAACATGCAAAGTGCCAGGGGGAACACATTCCAAGCAGATAGAATAGCAAGTGCAAAGGGTATGAGGTAGGAAAAATGCTGGTCAGGGAGGAAGGAAGGCCAGTGCATGAGTCAGGGACAAAACAAGTGAGGAGGACATGTCACAGAGAATGCAGGGCCTTGTGTGCCATGATAAGCAGACTGTAAGTAATCCTGAGTACAGTGTGAATTGATGAAGGACTTTCAAGTGGACAGCAATATTCACAGTTTTGTGTAGATAAGTGATTAAAAGGGAAATAAACAGACTGGGGTGACCGACAACTGTCCAGGTGGGGAGGTGCTGGCTTGGATTAAGGTAGAGGTCTGGAGAAGGAAAGGGGCTAGTTCAGAGGCATGGCTTGGAGAAAGGATGGACAGGATGCAGTGATAGATTAGATGTGGGAGGAGGAGAAGAAAAAAAATCAAAGGTTACTAGGTAGTTTGGTGGTTTCTGTTAGCTAGATCTATAACCATGCTGTAACTGTAAAAAGTCAGGGAGAAATGGGCTGGGTCTAGAAGAGGGGACGTTTTGTTTGCTTTTGAGATGCTTAAAGACACGACAGCAGAGATGTGAATTATGCACAGTGGGTTCCCAAGCTCACAGGTCGTATTGGTCATGTATGAATAAGAATTTAGGCTCTGACGACTTTAAATCCTGGCCCTGCGATTCAAATTATTCAATTGAGCAAATTATTAACTTCTTTGTGCCTCATTTTCCTCATATGTGGATAATAATAATACCTAACTTGGGTTGTTAGAAGCCTGAAAGCAATTCTTTCAACAGAGCTTGGCAGATGACAGCTAATACACAACACTTACTACTGTTACCATTAAGATCTGTGTTTGGGAGGCCCTAGCCTCTAGACTTCAAGATGGTATTTCAAGATGTAGATGTGAAAGGAAGAAAGCTTTAGGTAAGAGCAATAAAGAACCTTGAGGATTTGTTTTGATAAGGGAAGAGGGGTGAATAGATCAGTGGAGAAAAACCAGAAAAGGATTGGTCAGACAGGAGCTCAAGTCACTGAGAGGAGGAGTTTGGAGAAAAGAGAGTGGACTGTCACTGAGAGGTTAGTAAGAGGACAAAATATTCACTGTCATTGGAAAATGGAAGATTACTGGTGACCTGGACTAGAGCTATCACTATGGAGTCTTGAGAATAGACACCCAACTGAAGTGGGTTCAGGAGCAAAGGGGAGGCAGGGAAGCATAGATTATGTGGGTGATTCTAAAGAGAAAGTGAGTTTTATGATGGAGGACAGAGAATTAGGGTAAGGAATGACCAAAAAATAGGATCTAGACAAGAGATCTTAGCTCACGTTGGTTAGTGGTGGGGATGATCAGTGGTGATGGTGTGATGGTGTAAGGGAAAAATGCATAGCCAGTGCAGCAACGGGTGAGTTTGTGTCATGATTATTTGGACATGAGTCTCCTTTCCTTAAAGGACTGTAGTTCCCTGGAGCACAGACTTAGAGCTTACTTATATTTATGTCCTTCCTAATAAGTGACATCATACCTACCTTACAGGTAAATGATGAACTGAGTAGAATTTGTGTAGGTATTTTAGTGTATGATTTATTTATTTTTGTCTTACAGTCCAAATGTCCAGCTGAAAGTATTGACAGCTCTGGGAGAACAGCTTTACATTACGCAGGTAACTTTCATTCTTTTGTCTGTCTTCTTCTGCCATGTTAGATTTTTATTTTCTTTATTCAAGCCATTAACTTTACCAAACTATTCCTGGGGCTGATTTTTGTGATCATTCCTAGGCATTCCCATTTTGCTCAGTTTGTAACACATGTAGAGTTTTATGAAGGAATCAGTACTCCTAGAATTCATTGTCTGCCATGTAACCTGGAAGTTATGGTGGCTAATATATGCATGTGGCCACAGGTTTATCCTTAGGACCAAATGCACACACACACTAAACCAATTTAAAATTCCTTTTAAAGTTAAAAGATGGTCAAAGTACTTGTCGCTTCAGATAATGTGTGATGCAGATTTTTTGATTTGGGGATTATAAATGGATATCATATATATATTTGTCAACCTTTTGCTTTACTATCTATCACATAACTCCAAGTGGCAAATGTTAGTACTGAACTCTCAGGTGATTAGAAGTAAAATTTTCTTTTGTTGCTAGTTGTGGAAAAGCTAAGTCCTATGAAAAGGTAAATAAATCAAATGTTTGCCTACAGGAAACTGGCAGCCACTGGCTTTAGTTCTGGATAACAGTGAAATTTAGCAGTATTTTCAAACACCCCTTACTTAATCTTCCTGGCACTGTTTCTATCCCTTGACCTCAAGTGTGCTGACCTGGCAGAATGTGAACTTTTCCTTCTGAGGAGTGTTTAATGCCTTGATTGTGAGAGTATCTTTGTGAATGCTTTGGTATTTATGTTTCCTTCCTCAGTGGCGCAGGGATGCCTTCAAGCTGTGCAGATCCTCTGCGAGTACAAGAGTCCCATAAACCTAAAGGACTTGGTAAGTGCCAGGTGGGCACTAGAAATGGAAATGATGGCTTCTAGAGAACTGTGCAGTACTGCTGAGAGTCACTGAGGCTTTAGAGACTTCAGTATTTGGCAAAATTGTGTTGCTTTCCAAACTAGATTCTCTTCTGCAAAATGGTTTTATATATTATTCCTCATTGGTCCCCAAATTATCAATAATGCACTTGATATACATATGTTCTTTCATCAACCAAAATGTGAATAAAACTTTCTCAATTTGTAACAGTAAAAAAATATCTAAATAGAAATTCTGTTATTTTCTTTCTGCATCCCATATATTACTTTGGATAACTTCTGGTTAGAACAAATTTGAAAACCACTTCTAACACATTTTAACCTCATTTGGTTATTTTGAGAATAAATTGACATGCCTATGGCACATAGTTTCACTGATGGAGATGTTGTGGATGACTTAATAGACTGTGTAAATAAATTTATACTCTCTGAATCTTAATACAGGATGAATATTCCTAATCCAAAAAAATCCAAAATGCTCCAAAATCTGAAACATTTTGAGCGCCAACATGGTGCCACAAGTGGAAGCATTTCACACCATGGAACTTTGTTTCGTATACATTATTTAAAATGTTGACTAGATTATATTCAGGCCATGTTTGTAAAAAACATCGTGAACTTCATGTTTAGACTTGGGTCCCATCCCCAAGATATCTCCTATGTATATGCAGATATTCCAAAATCCAAAAAAGTCTAAAATCTGAAGTACGCCTTTAAGATAAAGCAGATGCAATCTGTACTTTATAACCAGAAATATTACAACTTTACCAAGGAGTACACCCAGAATTCATTAATTGCCTGCCATGCAACTAGGAAAAGTTATCATGGTTAATATATTCTAACTAGGGCTGGGGTTATAGCTGAGTGGTAGATCATGTACTTAGTATGCATGAAGCTATGGGCTCAGTCCCTAGCACCAAATACACACACACACACACACACACACACCCCAGTGTATAAAAGCCAGTTATGAAATTTGTCTAAAATTTTACTGTAAGACTCAATCCTTAAGCAGCAATTATCTTTATCCCCATTTAAAAATAAATGGACATAGTGTGACTTTTTTCTTTTGCCAGTATGAATGCTTCTACCTTAAAAATTGTTGACTGACTTGCAGGATATGTTTCCTCCACCAGCCCCTACTCCAGAACAATAGCTTTTTAAAAATGGTTTGTGTCTTTGCATCAGGCCCCTCTCACCCTGTATGTTCTTCCAGTAATTTTTCATTTGTTTTATATTGTAATATTTAAATTCTTGATCTACCTCACATAGTTTGTATACCAGTTGAGGATTTCATTTTTCCCCCACAAAGGGAATTCCAAATGCTATCATACATATGATCCATCTCTTTAGCTTGTCTTGAGTTAGTAATAAACAAATAGACTCTTTTCCTTTTCTTTCCTTTTTTTTGGTGGAACTGAGGTTTGAACTTAGGGCTTCGTAACTGCACAGCAGGCACTCTACTGCTTGAATCTTCCTCCAGTCCATTTTGCTTTGATTATTTTGGAGATGGGGTCTGTCAGACTATGTTCCTAGGCTGGACTTTACCCATGATCCTCCTGATCTCAGCCTCACAAGTAGATAGAATTACAGGTCTGAACCATTGGTGCCTGGTGACAAATAGACTGTTAATTTACATTATGTTACGATGCCTAGTAAGATTATGAAAGGGTACGCTTTCTAGGAAGAGAAGAGTAGAATGGCAGAAAATAGTTCACTGGGAAGAAATTGTTCAGAGTACATTAGGTCCTTCTGATGCCATGAGGAGAAAAGTTCTTCATTGCTCCAGAATGGTCACTCAATACACATGATGTACTTGCTTTTAGCCTTAACATACTTTCTGTTCCAGGCTCAGAGAGCAAGCAGGCCAAGAGACTGAGGGTCCTAGGGAAAGGTAAATTTGGTGAATTTCCATAAGAGTTGTGCTAAAATGTAATAGTGGCCATAAAGGGGCACAAAATAGCATGCTACACCAAACCTTAGACCAACAGTACAAGTCAGAAAAGTGTGGAAAGAACAGGGTCTTTGGTATTTGGCATTGGAGTTAAAATTAACTCTGAGTTTGTCTCCTAGGATGGAAATATTCCACTACTTCTTGCAGTACAAAATGGCCACAGTGAGGTCTGTCATTTTCTCCTGGATCATGGAGCAGATGTCAATTCCAGGGACAAAAATGGAAGGTACCATACAATTAGGCAGAAATTATATTGCTTCAGAGGTACCCACAGTCTGAATTTTTCAAAATATTACAGCTGTATTTTGGATTTGTTTTGAAGTGGTTTCAATGTCTTTCTTTTTAAATTTTCTACCTTTTCGATAATCAAAAATCTTGGAAAATTTTGGTAATCAAGAATCTGCTTGGCATTTTTGCAGTATTTCTGTGGGGATCATTGCTGACCATTAACTATTAAAGGGAATAAACCATTTCCTATGACTTTTATGCAAAACAAAAGTAAACATATTGCTTTGCTTTTAAAAAATATTCTCAACAACATACATGGTTTTAAAAATACTTGAGGAGAAAGAATACCAAGATTTGTGCCAATCATAAGAAATTCCATCATTTTGTATCAAATACTATGGAAGATTATGTTGCTTGACTATGATTTAATCTGAAGTTTTAAAAATAGCAACCACCTAATTTCATCTTGATAGCATTCCACTTTGAGTTCCCTAGATTAAGTAAAGAAAAGGTTTAACTACACTTAATCTTCCTTTCCCTTCTTTCTAGACAAGTGATTTCTTAGGAAAGAGTTCGTACAAATTGGTTAGTACAAATTTTGTGTCTTTTTTCTTTAGAACTGCTCTCATGCTGGCTTGTGAGATTGGCAGCTCTAACATCGTGGAAGCCTTAATTAAAAGGGGTGCAGACCTAAACCTTGTGGATTCTCTTGGACACAATGCCTTACATTATTCAAAACTCTCAGAAAATGCAGGAATTCAAAGCCTTCTATTATCAAAAACCTCTCAGGATGCTGGTATGTGGAAGAAAATAGCCAATGTTGTTTTAAACTTATACACTCTATTTTCCCCAAAGGATAAAGGAATTCGTGCAATATGATATATTTTATTATTCTTTTAAACATGTGCCTGAAGAAAAATGAAGTGTTAAGTATTGTTTGTGTATATATCTGCCCACCCAAAGTAGATAAGAGATTAATCATTATGGTTCTTATAATTCTTTTTTTTTTTACTTTTTCTTCTTTAGATTTAAAGACCCCGACAAAACCAAAGCAGGTATTAATCTTTGGGCTGGGGGTTCTTTCTTTCTTTTTTAATCTTTGCCCATGGGAAACTGAAAATATTCAGATTAAACTGTTTAATTAGAAATGTGATAAATGTCACTATGTCAAAAAAAACCTTTAGGACTAAAATATCTTTGAATAAGTGACTCATTGTTTTATGAGGTTGCAAATATTTTCTTAACGATTTATCTTATTTCAAAAAGCGTGTAACTTTAAACTTGCTACATACATATTTATCTTTTTCTGAAATATACTAATACTTCCCACTGGTGTGAAAAATGGTGTGGTTTAAACTCTGAGGCTGAATAACAGTATTTTAAATACTTTTAATATCACATGGACTGTAGCTGTGAAAATACTAGCTATTTAATGGGAATAGAAGATTTAGCTTTTTAGTTTAATTCAGGTTATTGTAAAATGTTGTCAGTATTACACATAGCGGAAATTGAGACATTTGCCCTGTTGTTTTGGGTTTTTCCTAAAAGCATGTTGTCACTATCTGTTCATGTCTGGCTGTTTTTATTTATACACTAAGGTTCTTGAGGAAATAAAAAATAGCAAATACTTAATAGTGGATTTATATGTTTACTATATTACTTACCAATAACCTTTAGAGATGAGGTTTCCTTTCCCTTGTTTGTATTTTTTAAAAAGGAATGAAAGTAATGCAGACATGTAGGAATTCCCACAGCTTTGCATTAAGATGCAAAGCCCACTGTGAATATATTATGGGCTTTAATTCCGATAGACATCCCTTATCCTCTTCTTTCCCAGTTCTCCACATGAACTTAATCTGGTTTTGTCTTATGTTTTTTTACCCTCTTGCTATGAAAGCATGGGCTATGCTAGAAAGAAAACTTAGAGCATGCATTACTTATTTTTATGATGGTAGCAGATTTTAGATCTTGATGAAGTAAGAAATGCATGAATTGTTGAGGTTTTTCTCGTTTGTTTGATGAATCCACTTGCTCAGACTTTACTAACCTAACTAACCCACCTGCATTCTTTGGACTGTGATAACTTTCAGCATGATCAAGTCTCTAAAATAAGCTCAGAAAGAAGTGGAACTCCAAAAAAACGCAAAGCTCCACCACCTCCTATCAGTCCTACCCAGGTAAAGACAAAAGCAAGGCAACAGTCAACAACCATACAAGAAGGCCATCATTTTGTGATTAGGTCAAAAGAAATGTTGTAGAACTAACCCTTAAGTACATATTTAAAATTTTCTTTAGTGGTTTTTAATTATAAATTTCAGGCCTGGGGATGTAGTTCAGTGGCAAAATACTTGCCTACATGTGCAAGGCCCCCAAGCACCACAAAAGAAAAGTAAATCGCAGTAAGAAGGATTTTGATTATTAGTTTGGAAATAGTGTTGGTTTCTATCTATCCATATCAAAAATGTAGAATTGAACAGTATCTTTTTGAAAAGCCTCATGGAAATTTCACAAAATCTTATGATAGAAACTATTCAAGATAATAAGCTTAGTCTATTTTTAGTTCCTCATATTGACAGCTCTAGTAAGGGGTAGGGGAATGAACAGCTAGTAAGACAGATAAAAGTGAATTTCAGTTGGTTTCTTAAGACATTGTTAAAATATATTTACCTTTCTACTTATATAGTTGGCTAATATTAAAAGTAGTTTGTATTTTTGAGCTTATAATTACTACCTCATAGAGGAGGAAGCTCAGAGATCTATGAGATGGCAAGTTAAAAAAACAGGCTGGGGTACCCCATAGGTTTTTTAGGTCATAGGAAAATAATCCATATCCAAATAGTTGAGAGGAGTATTTCATCTGATAAATAATTTTAAATATGTTAAATATTCTCAACCAAGAGAAATTTTGTAGATTTAAAAAACTGATTCTAGTTAATATTTGAATAAAGTTACTTAATTATTCTCTGCAAACTTTCAAAAAAGTATTTGAAGTAGCTAAAAAGACTGGAAAATATTACCCTTGAATTAACTGAAATAAAGCTACTTACAGTTAGATTTAGCTGCAGCATTGAAGAAGAAAAGACTTTGAAGACCATCTTATTTTTTAAATTAGGATACATTCATTATATGTGGGTGGGGGGATTCATAGTTACAATTCCAATTAGACTTATATTGTACATTATTTACATTTCCCCCTTTGTCTCTCCCCTTTTGCCCCTTTCCCACCCCACTTAAAGCAATTGCAAGAGGTTTTCTAGTTCTGTTTCATATACGTATATGAAGTCCATCTACCATATACCCTCACCTTAATCTCCTTCCTTCACCCTCCCCCCATCACTAGTACCCCTCCCTGGCCAGAAGGTGCATTCTTTACTGGTGGTTTCATTTTTTTTTTAGTTGAGTGATGTGTCTTCCCCAAGATCAATAACTTCCACACCACTTTCTGGAAAGGAATCAGTTTTTTTTGCTGAAGCACCCTTCAAGGTATTTTCTTTGTGTGTTCAATTTTGTTACTATATTTTAAGATACATGATAGACTTGCTTAAACTTTTACAACACTGGGCTAAATAAAATATACTTCTGAATCATTTACAACCTTTTCACCATGAGGACACCTTGATTATTTTTATTATTTGTAGAGTACTTGCTACATGAGTTCAAATGCCAGTACCACCAAGATAAAAAAAAAGAGGTGATAACTTACCTGATAACACAGTCTTATCAAATTGAGTTGATATAATAATGCCAGTCAAAAAGATGGAAACATTTGTTATTCTCTTATGTCTTAATACAACTTTTTTCTGCCTATAAAAGTATTTATTTTAGAAACTTCAGAAAATCCAATAGGTCTTATTCCACTTGGCTGTAAGTTTGGGGCTAGAAATTTTTGGTTTTGGTGGCACTGGGGTTTGAACTTAGGGCTTCATGCTTGCAAAGCAGGCACTCTATTGTTTGAGCCACACCTCCAGCTCATTTTGCTCTGAGAATTTTTAGAGATGAGGTCTCATAAACTATTTACCTGGGCTGGCCTCAAACCTCCATTCTTTCTATCTCAGCCTCCCAAGTAGGTAGGACTACAGGCGTGAGCCACAATTGCCTAGCCTCCAAAGTATTTTAAGGAAGTAGGAGGATATCTCTTTTCACTATCTATTTATCTAACAATCACTACGAAATTGTACTTTGGAGGAAATGAAATTTATAATTCTTAAAATAAAACTCAATATGTATGGGAGCAATTTATTTTCTTCCATTTTAGAATAATAAAGATAAATTTTCTTTTAACTTGGATGCACTTTAATCTGAAAAGCTTTCTATCAACTTATATTTTTCACTTTAACTACACTTTTAATAAACTCTTAAGATGAACTCCTGTGCATGGCAAGGAGGCTTGCACATTAAGGTAATATGACAGTGGCTCAAAAGAAGCAAACATTCCAAAGAATACTATCACAAATTGTGACTTTCAGGAATAAAACAGACCCTAACTTCTAAAGAAACAAACAAAAATGTAAAAAAAGATAAAAAGTGATAACTATTTAAAATGACTAAAGTTTAAAAAAACTAAAATTGCCAAGTGTAGGTGAGAATGTAGAAGAGCTAACCTCTTATTCTGTTGGTGGCAATGTAAAATTTTACAGCTACTTTGGAAAAATGTTTGGCAGTTTCTGTAAAAGTTTAGTATCTACCTAATATATGATCCAGCCATTCACTCAGGTGTTTACCCAAGAGAAATGAAAATATATGCTATACAAAATTTTATACTGAATGTTAACAACAGCTTTATTCACTATATACCTACACCAGAAATAGTCCACATGTCCATCATCAGCATGTGAATGAATGATAATGAGATATATAATGGAATATTACTGTACTGTAAAAGACTGAATTGTGTGTAGTGCAAACAACATGATAGAGGAATCTTAAAATCATGTGGAATGAAAAAAGACAGCCACAAAATATCCTTACTGTATAGCATTCTATTGTAGCGATTTCAAAAATGCAAGGAAGAGTTGTGGTTGCCTGGGAAGGGAGTGAGCAGGGAATGGCTGTGAACATCTTGACTATAGTGGTGCTTCCATGGATATGCAAATGTCAAAACCTCCTCAAGCTTTAAACTTAAAATGGATGAATTTTACCTTACATAGTTGAAAAAAACAAGTACTGTCATTAAGGCTGGGGGCAGCTTTTTGTAAAGATAAGCACTTGCCGAAACTGAGTCACTTAATTTTTAACATTTGCACCTTCACAAAGCTCCTTTGCTGAAAAATGATCTCTCTTATCATTGTCTGTGGTTCATCTAGATGAAACCCAGTAATTTCTGGCAAGGTACTATGATGTTCTGAAATAAGAGTGTGTCTTTGAAGTCCTAAGATTCTTTTGCAGCATATTAACAGGTATTCAGGGACAAAAGGTTAGAGGAAGACTCAGACCAGTTGGTTGCCAAGCCAAGGCCATACAAGTCTTTACTCCCTGTAAAGTCACCTTTCCTCCCTGACAGGTCTTATTTATTGTTCTCTCTTAGGAAGAACAATAAGGTATTATTAGCAAATAATTTTAAAAGTGATAAAACTAAAAAAAATACTTTTAATATACTTTAATCAATGTATGAGCCAGATAAGTACAACTTCTATTTGACTTTATTAAGAAAGCAATCTTTGCTATCTCAAGTTTTAGAACATAGCCTAGTAAATGAGTTGTTACATAAAATTTTTATAATTTTAAATATATTTGTGTTGTACTCACTAAAATGAAATTTCTGAAAAATATTTTTAGATTATACCCTCTAGTGCTTCTGATGTTTTAGAATCATACTTTAGTAAAAAATTGTCATTTTAGTTCACTTTTAAATATCTTCTTTCCTTGAGATTTTCTAGCTGTTTTCTCATCTGCTCTCTGTAAACACAAGGAGGAAAATCAGCTTGACTCTTTGATGCAGTGCTATATTTAGGAGCATTCTTTTTATGTCATTTCTGTGTTTCTGCAGGCTGAGATTAGTTCTATACGAGAAAACAAAGACAGATTAAGTGACAGCACTACAGGTAAGAGAAAGGAGAATCTGTTTTTGTTCCTTTGACCAAACTTTATTATCTGTGTGCATATAAAGAGAGCAAAGGGCAGCCGGGGTCTCTGTGTAGGGGGGGAGTGAGAACCAGCCTGCCACCTGTCAGAGCTGCCAGTAATGCACAGGCCGATGCTCTCCATACTGCAGGAGGCCCTACCCTCGGTTTTAATGAGTCTCTCAGTTTGGATGTAAAAAGTATACTTCTATTTTCATTTGTCCCTAACTAAATGTTAGTATTTCCCTCTATTGTGAATACAGCAATAAGCTCCAACAGTACTAGTAGACCAATTACTTTGTCACCAAGAGAATGCACAGAAAACTTCCTGTCACTCTACTGTTATTGCAGATATGTTGAAATATCATTTATAATATCTCCACTAAAAATTATGGCAGTTATAGGCCCTAGTTTTATACCTTGTTATTTGGCATGTTACAAAATAAGTTTTAGATTACTGTAGTCTGAATATTTTACCTTATGCATTTAAAAACACTGTTACAAGAAGCAGTCCATAAATGTCAGGCTGTCAAGGAACAGCACTCATTGCATCTGAGCAGCAAGTTATCACACAAAGGTAAAAGGAACCTTGGAGTATAAGTATATACAGGCAAAGAGAGTGTTCGTAAATCATACACAGTCATATTGTCTTCACCAAAATAGTATTTAATGCACTGTATTGTTTAATAGTTGCTCCTAAGATTACAAATTCAAGGCCAGTCTGGGCTACAAAGCAAGACCTATGTGAGGAGAGAGAGAAAAAAGAATTTAAAAAAAAAGAAGGGAGTGTGTGTGTGTCCAACCTAATGAAGAAAGATTCCTAATAATTCATTACATATCTAAGAATGTAGTTCAGTATCTTTTGAATTAAAGTACAGTGCACAAGACTTCAAAGGCTCCCTTTTACTCCAGCATTCTCAATGTCTTATTGTGTATTTCATATGTATTTGGAGCGTTTGATTAGCAGAATTTAGAAATAATTTTTCTAACTCCTAGCAGGGATCAATGTTATAACTAAACAAGTGTTACCTGGGGTACTTTAAAATCAATCCATTATATCTTAGAAGTACTTTTAATTTCTATTGCTTAGAATTGCAGTCATGTTCCCACTCTCTTAGTTCATTCTACCAAAATGGAAGCCACTAGGCTTCAAGTCAAGAGGACTCAAAGCTGTGGCTTAGGCATCAGACATCAAAACAGAAGCACACTTTTCTGTAAAGAAAGATCATTTTTGCATCCATCCAGATTAAGATTAAAGTTTTCATCTCTGCATTAAATGGCTGTGAGAAAATAAAAAGCATAGTAGGAAAAAAATTACTAGTACGCTGTACTACTAATAGTATTCTGTACAATACAGAGTGTGGTCTGTAAACTATAGCCAGTCAGAAGTAATTAAGGAGTTTGTACAAGAACGTCATCCAGCTGTGTCACTGAAGCACACCATCTGTCCAGTGGATGTTTTTTTGTAGGAAGGCCTTCTGGATGAAGACAGCCATACATTGCATTAAGACTGGACTAAGTTCCTTTCTCAGTGAGCACTTTGAGTAGCACTGTTGAGGCAGTGCTTTGGCATGGTAATTAGTACAGTGTTTAAAATTGTGGCTTACCAACAAGGATTGCAGTTGGAAGGGAAAGTCATTTCATGTTAGGGTGGTTGGTGAATGCTTCTAAGGAGGCAAAGTTTGACCTGGCTCCTGAGGATGCTGAAGAGTTATCTCAATAAGCAGGAAGTCTTGTGGATGAACAATGAAACAGTCAACCACACTGAGAATATAGGGGATGTAATGGAACTATGAATCTAAGGAACATGGAAATTTAGGAAGGATGTCGTGAGTCATGAACCTCAAAAAGCAGACCGGGGCCACACATAGAAGACCTCAGCCCAGAAAAAAGGAATAAAGGAATTTGGAGATTTTTGGAGGGAGAACAATTAAAGCACTTTAACCACAGGAATGACCCAATTCAAGTATGTTGTAGGAAGATTAGTATGATTTCTAAAATGAAATTTCTGAAAAATATTTTCAGATTATACCCTCTAGAGCTTCTGATGTTTTAGAAATCATACTTTAGTAAATAATTGTCATTTTAGTTCATTTTTATTTTTAAATATCTTAAAAACCTACATTTTTGGAGGAGTTTGAACTCAGGTCCTCACACTTGCTAAGCAAGCCCCAGAGCTACATTTTTACTGGGGAAAAGAAAGGGGCAGAGATTTGTTGGGAAGCTATTTGCAGAGTTTTCAAGGAAGGTAATAAAGTCTGAACTAGAGTAACAGGGATAAGAAATTAACCAGATTCCAGAAATAATTCTAAAAGGATTCACAAAAGTGAGATATATGAGGCAACAAGGAGTAACCTAAAACACCCAAGTGAATGGAATATTGTATGACAGAATCTGTCAGTTTCAGAATCAGTTTCTATATATTTGTATCTAGTATTGTAGTAGGAATTCCATGGTAAGGAAATGACAGTAAATGAAAACTGCTGTTCATCTATCCAGCTGATGGAGGGTTTCATAGTCAGGACTACATTAAGCCAGAAGAAGAGTGAGTTTGTTAGCAGTTAAACAGTTTAATTTTTTTATTGTTGTGCTGGGTAGGGGTTAGATAGTGGCGTTTATAAAGGTTCTTAAAATATATCATACTTGAATTTGCCCCCACTCTGCCTTTCTCTTTTCCAAGGTGCTGATAGCTTATTGGATATAAGTTCTGAAGCTGACCAACAAGATCTTCTTGTCCTGCTGCAAGCAAAAGTTGCTTCTCTTACCCTACACAACAAGGAGCTGCAAGATAAATTACAGGTAGGTAAATAGACTGCTACCATAGACTATTCTGTAGATTCAAGATACTGGTTTTTTTTCAAGGGTAATCAAGTACATTTTGTTTCAAATATCTATAAATTTCCTCTTAAATGTACTTAGCTTTAAGTCTCTTATGGCTTCAAATTATTTGTTTCTTGGGCATGTTATTTGTTGTCTCTATTTCCATAAATTGCTAAGTTATATATAATTATTCTTGGTATAATATGCATAACATGATTATATATTATAAAATGTAAATATAAATATTTACAGCTATAAAATTTGTATGTGAATATGATTTACATAGAATGACATAAGACTTATGCATAAAATTTGATATTTCAATTTTTATCTAGATTAAAATTCATCTAGCAGCCTTAAGAACTTGATAGGCAATAACTATACTGTGCCTGTTGCCTCCATGGGCAACTAGAATGATAAGAAGAACAAAGGAAATTTCTCAATCAGATTTTACAAGTAAAACAATTCCAGTGTCATAAAAATGACACAAATAATGTGCCCTGTTAGAGCACAGAGTAAGCTTTATGTCCAGCTTTCATGTCCCAGACCATGTTTTTCATGGTGCAGGAGTCCACGTGCAAAATGGTCACACTGCTCAACTACACCTAAACTTCACATGACTTCCTTGGTGGCTCCACACCATACCTTTGGTGTCATTTAATTCCTTCTTTCTTTCTCAGGCCAAATCACCCAGGGAGGCCGAAGGAGACCTAAGCTTTGACTCTTTCCACTCCACTCAGACTGACCTGGCCCCATCCCTGGGGAAACCTAGTGAAGCCTCTCCCCCAGACTCCAAATCATCTTTATCTATCTTAGCACATTCTTTGGGGAAATCCACTACCAACAGTGATGTCCAAATTCAGCAACTACAAGAGACTTTGCAAGATTTGCAGAAGAGGTTGGAGAACTCTGAAGCAGAAAGGAAACAGCTACAAGCTGAACTCCAGTCCCAAAGGACAGACCTGGTGTGCTTGAACAACACGGAGATTTCAGAGAATGGCTCTGATCTCAGTCAGAAACTTAAAGAAACTCAGAGCAAGTATGAGGAAGCCATGAAAGAAGTCCTCAGTGTGCAGAAGCAGATGAAACTGGGACTCCTCTCACATGAGAGTGTGGATAGCCTTTCACATCTCAATGAGGTGAAAGTCACTGACAAGGAAATAGACATGCTAAAGCGGGACCTGCAGAATGCAGTAGAAGAAAGTGAAAGAAATAAAGAGAAAGTGAAAGAGTTAGAGGAAAAACTTGTGGATAGGGAGAAGGGTGGAGTGATTAAGCCACCTGTAGAAGAGTATGAGGAAATGAAAAGTTCATATTGCTCTGTTATTGAGAATATGAATAAGGAGAAAGCATTTTTGTTTGAGAAGTATCAAGAGGCCCAAGAAGAAATCATGACATTAAAAGATACACTAAAAAGTCACATGACACAGGAAGCCAGTGACGAAGCTGGAGACATGAAAGAGGCCATGAACAGGATGGTAGATGAACTCAACAAACAGGTGAGCGAGCTGTCACAGCTGTACAAAGAAGCCCAGGCTGAGCTGGAGGATTATAGAAAAAGGAAGTCTCTAGAGGATGTGACAGCCGAATATATCCATAAAGCAGAGCATGAGAAACTGATGCAAGTGACAAACATGTCCAGGGCTAAAGCAGAAGAGGCACTGTCCGAAATGAAGTCTCAATATTCAAAAGTGTTGAATGAGTTGTCCCAGCTCAAACAACTGGTAGATGCACAGAAAGAGAACTCTGTGTCCATCACAGAACATTTGCAAGTGATAACCACACTGCGAACGACTGCAAAAGAGATGGAAGAAAAAATAAGTAATCTCAAAGAGCACCTTGCAAGTAAGGAAGTAGAAGTAGCAAAGCTGGAGAAGCAACTACTGGAAGAGAAAGCAGCCATGACTGATGCTATGGTACCCAGGTCTTCCTATGAAAAGCTCCAGTCATCCTTAGAAAGTGAAGTGAGTGTGTTGGCATCGAAATTAAAGGATTCAGTAAAAGAAAAAGAGAAAGTCCATTCAGAGGTTGCCCAGGCTCGAAGTGAGGTCTCACAAGTGAAAAGGGAAAAGGAAAACATTCAAATTCTCTTGAAATCCAAAGAGCAAGAAATAAATGACCTTCTGCAAAAATTCCAGCAAGCTCAGGAAGAACTTGCTGAAATGAGAAGGTATTCTGAAAGTTCTTCAAAACTGGAGGAGGATAAAGACAAAAAGGTTGGTGAAATTCTATGGATTTCTAGCAGTAAGTCCTAGACCTTTTAAATATTACTGTGTTAAACATTTATAGGATGTGTTGGCACTAACCTGTCATGAATGCTCTGAGGCTCTGCACATGTCTTTATCTGTCCCCAAACCCTCATTAAGAATAGTATATTGGAGCCAGGTGTGGTGATGTGATGCGCACCTGTATTCCCAGCACTTAAGAGGATTGTAAATTTAAGGCCATTGTGGGCTACATAGCAAGTTCCTGGCCAACCTGGGCTATATAGTAAGACCCAGTTTCAAAAATAAATAAGAATAGTATATTGGAAATTGATTTTTTTTTTTTTTTTTTGGTGATACTGGGGTTTGAACTCAAGGCCCCACTTGCCAGGCTTGCTAGGCAGGCCCTCTACCACTAGCTTCAAACCATGATCCTCCTGATCTCTGCCTCCTGAGTAGTTAGGATTACAGGCGTGAGCCATCAGCACCCGGCTAGAAATTGATTTTTAAAAAGCAGTCTTCAGACACTTCTTTTACTAAAGTGTTTGCATATAAATAGTACATATTTGCTCTTTAAAAATCACTACTACGGTGTGGTAGTGCATATCTGAAATCCCATCATTCAGGTGAGTTTGAGCCCATCAAGTACTACATAGTGAGATCCTGTCACAAAAAATCACTTAACAGCTCTGCCATTGTTGGGGGTCAGAGGTGTGTGAAAAACGTTTGACCTATCTTTAACTTCAGCTCTTCTTTTTCAGGCTAGAATAGATTCCCCCATCTTAAGGAAACCCAACACTCCTAGACTTAATCCTGCTTATCAAACTTCCATTAGCTCCTCACAGCATAACCACTATTTTTTCTGGTCCCCATTTTCAAAGGTATATAGGAAGGGGAGGGAGGAATGTGGGGAGCAGGCAGTTTAGAGATGGCTCTGTGCAGAGAAAAGAGGGAAGTAAAGAGTAAGTTCAGAATATTTCTATATTAAGTCTGCTCACATCTCCTGCACTGGAGGCTCTGAATGACATTGAAACATTATTTATCCTTTTATAAAATGTGTCTGAAAAATGGCTTCAAAAACCTATGGGGTGTGGAGTGGTAGGGAGTGGTGTAGCAAAGTGGGAGGTTGTCTTTTAAAGTAGTATGTCTTTAAAGTAGTAAGTATCAGGGTCCTAGGACTTATTCCTAATTGTCTATGTCAGCAATAGTGGACAAGACAGATCTCTCCAAATAAAGAATGTGTCTAATCCTTTCTCTGATTTTCTTTTGAACTATAACCCCTTTAAGAGTAAATGAGGGAAATTGGCATCATAGCTTTTTTACCCTCATCCACCAAAACAACATGTGATTCGGGAGCCTTTACCTGAATGGAATCGATGTTGAGGTATTTGTTGGTTTGCCGGATTTTGTTATCTGTTTCATTTTATGTGTTTCTCTTTAAAAATTAAAAAGGAATTGTTTTAGAGTCTCAGTTGTTCCAGATGCCAATAGAAATGATTTATGTTGGAGGCCTGGAAATATCTGGATTTTTGCTTCAATATACATGCTATAACATATTGATAAGAGTTTTCCTTTCTCACTAGATAAGTGAGATGTCGAAGGAAGTCACCAAATTGAAGGAGGCCCTGAACAGCCTCTCTCAGCTCTCTTACTCAACAAGCTCATCCAAAAGACAGAGCCAGCAGCTGGAAACATTGCAGCAGCAGGTCAAACAGCTACAGAATCAGCTGTCTGTGAGTGATCTTATTTCTGCTACCTGGTTTGGGGTGGAGGGTGAAGCAGGTTACATACCAACTTCGATGTTCATCACAAAAAGATTCCCAGCCTAATGGAATGTCATATTTAAAGAAGCAGGACTGGTGGAGTCGCTCAAGTGGTAGGGCACCTGTCTAGCAAGCATGAGGCCCTAATACCGCCAAAAACAAACAAACAAACAAAAACTTGAATGAGCAATGAAGACTTCTCTGATGAGGGCAAAGGAGGAAAGCACTGGTAGAATTCCTAGTCATCATCTGCAATGAGATGGGTTGGAATGAGATGGGAGGAATCAGGAGGATATTGCTTGTCTCTCATCCACTAATATGTCACCCCTTCTCCTTTTTCTGTCATCTCTGGTATTGACAACAGCTTTTTGTATTAGGAGCCAGGATTTCTGTAGTTGTGTATCTACATATTTGAAGCTGCTTCTTGGCCCTTCTTATTCTACCCAGGGAAGCTCTTTCATATCTGTGTTGGTTTCCTATGGCTATTATAGCAAATCATCACAAACTTGACTTAAAATAACATGAATGTATTATCTTGTGATTCTAGAGATCAGAAGTCTGAAATCTCTTTCATTAGAGTAAGATTAAGGTGCTGGCTGATTCCTTCTGGAGGCTGATTTTCCAGTTTCTAGAGGCCACCTACTTTCCTAGGCTCATGCTTTCTTTCCCCATCTTCAAACCATATCACTTCAACTCTGCTTCTGCTTCCCATCTCTTTCTTCTGCCTTTTTTTTTTTTTTGGCCCCCTCTTATAAGGACAATGTTATGCATCTAAAACCTTGTACAAGTTTTGAAATTATTGTAACTACTCAGAGAATCCATAATAATCTCTCTCCATCTCTAAATCCTAAAATATATCTACAAGATCCTTATCATAGGTTCTTGGGGCTAGAATGTGGACATCTTTGGAGGGCCATTATTTAGCCTACCTAGATATCTGTTAAGGTTTTAGCAAGGGTGTGTTACATCTTCCATATGGAGTCAATAGTTGGTTTGCCCTGGACTGTCTCTAGCTTGCATTTACAAACAGAACACAGATCAGGTAAGTTTTTCAGTATAGACTTAACACTAACAAATTCTTACTTTGGCCACAAAGTACAAGTTGGTGCTAAGAACTCTAGCAGTGGTGGAATAATCTGGAGAAGATGCTCTTTATTGAGTTCTGCAAGTCATTCTGCTTTGTAGCTAAAGCATTAGTGGTGGGCTGGGACCATAGGTCAAGAGGTAGAGTAGATGCCTAGCAAAGGCAAGTCCCTGAATCCCTGAGTTCAAATCTCAGTACCACCAAAAAAGAAGAAAAGCATTAAGGATTTATATACTTACCTATATATTTGTATAACTCTAGGAATTATAATAATACTTTGTATAGCTTTTCTAAAGTTGGTATGCCAAGATGAAATAGGTTTTTTCCTCCTAAGAATAGTAACAAATATTCAGAAATGGATAAGCCTGTGAGCTCAGAGCAATTTTAGAATCTTCTCATGCTAGCTATAGTGGAAGGAATCAATTGTGTAGCATTGATGGCAGCTTCCTCATAGTTATTTGTTTTTATTCTTTAAAGTTCTCCTACGCTTGCTAATAATGTCAAATGTCTCCTTCTAGGAATGCAAGAAACAACACCAGGAAGTTGTTTCAGTTTACAGGATGCATCTTCTGTATGCTGTGCAGGTATGGAAACACTCAGTGAAGTGTCTCGACACCTAAAGAAATACAACAACAGATGTTGTCAAAACTCCCCATCATTAAACTAGTAGAATGAACAGGAGTTAGAGGAGAATCTTTTCATTGGAAAGCTTTAAAATGCCTTTTGCTTTGATTTAGATTTTGTGTCAAGAGCTTTGTGCCCTGTTCACTGGGAGCAGCCTTGTCACTTATTGAGAAATGAAGGAAGAGATGTGACTGCTGTCCCCCATCAGGAGGACCCAAGCTTTATTTTTCAGGCATAAAAATATTCTCAGAACCCCAGCACTGCCTTATCTCTGTTTGTTGAGACACTGACTGGCTGGGCTCACATTAGCAATCAAGACTCCAGATATCCTTTGCTGAGGTCTTTGGTAGATCCATCCTCATCACCCTCCAGATGGATAAGAGCAGGTCTCTGACACCTCAGCCACATGGAAGTGTGAGAAGTGAGAGGGCTGACATTCCTCTGAAAGTTGGAGGGAATAAGATAAGGGCTTCATCCCTGACAGCCATCTCATTTCCCAAGGGAGAAAATGTCATTGAAGTTCTAATGAATGTCTTGTTTATATTTCTTAGGGCCAGATGGATGAAGATGTCCAGAAAGTACTGAAGCAAATCCTAACTATGTGTAAAAACCAGTCCCAGAAGAAGTAAAGTGGATTCCTTGGCAAGACACTGCCCCTTGTTGTGCATCTTTGTGTTAGATCCAGAGTTATTTGTGACCACTGCCATTGTTTTCATTCGTGGTATGCACTGTGACCTAGCATAGCTTCTTTCTTTCCAAAGGTTTCTGAGGACTAGTCCCAGGAGAAGATGCAGAGACTTCAGACTAGCGGAGGTGAACATACCCTCAGATTCCAGAACTGGAATCCACCATACTCAGAGTTTTGGTCCTGATGCTGGCAGGTGGCCACCTTCCTTGATACCTGACCGGCTGAGTGACTTCACCACTGAGTGATCGGCTGAGGCCTCCATGCAGTGACTGCCTGCTTCAATTCCTATTATTGAGCTGTGCCATTCAGCACAGTAGAGCTCTTTTTGCCTTTGGCTTCTAATCCCATAACATGATTTAATTTCTAACCAAATTAGTATGGCATTAGTTATGAAGACCCCTTAGCATGCTATCCTGTGGATTTAAAAACACTAATTCCATCTTTTTCCCTCAGCTTAGATAGCTCATCATCCTGTTTATCAATCTCACAATTTTTGATAAGCATTATTAACTAGAGTTGAACTTTAAGAACAAAAGCAAACTGTCCTTAAAAGGTTTTCTTTTTTTTTTTTAAGTAAATCATGGACATACTGCAAATTTTCTATGCAAACTTGCCTCCTGCTGTGATCCATGAAGCTCAGGAAATCCAAATATTTCAACAAGGGACAGTAAACTGTGTTTACAGCCAAAAGAAATGCCTCATAGTTCTTAACCTCAATTTTTAAAAGTATTTTTTTCTCTATAATATTTTTATTGGCCTTAAAGATGTTTTCCTATCTAAACCCCTAAACAAGTGAATTTACATTAGATTATATGAATTTACATTAGATTATATTAACAAAATATTTTTTAGGTAATCATGCTTAAGACTTTTTAAAGATGTAACTTTTCTCAAACTTTTCAGCTATACGCAAGGGCAGTTATGTGTTCCAGACTTAATATGAGCTGCCACCAATACCCCTAGGACTTCTGCCACTGTCTTTTCAGAACTATAGTGCATTTCTGAATATAGTAAATCCTCTTTTTACCCATGGAATATTTTTGAAAGTCCCAACCCTAAAAGTGCCCATAAATTAATTCTGGAAGGATGTTAGCACCAGGCTTTCAACTTTGAAACAAAACCCTGATATGGTAACATGGTGCGTAGCAAAAGTCTTGGGAGAAAATATTTCTGTTCACTTTATTTTTGGGTTAAAGAAATGTTTCTAACTTGCTTGCAGCTTCTCTATGGCATTGATCTTGAGGGACATATACAGAACACCGAACTTTTAGTATATAGCTAAAAGTGAAGGGCTCCTCTGACAGGGCCCACATATATTATAGGGTTGCCTGGGCTCAGAGGGGTGCTTGGCTGAACTGGATGATATGTTAATTTGTACTGGATATGGACCAATGACAGCAAAACAAAAATGGCTTTAAAGCTTGTTGTTGTTACTTTTCTTAAGTCATTTAATTATAGTTAAGCAGTTCCAAATATGCTTCCAAAGAAATGTGAAAGGACTTTTTGTCACAACACTTAAGAAAATATAAAACAACCTTCCTCATGCCCCCACACAGAAATGCTGCAAAGTATAAAACTTGAGACATTTTGTAGAATGCCTGACAAAGTGTAGCCTTTTATCTTGTTTCAGGATACATATTTATTACAAGTACTCTGGTTAAATATTGAAAAGTTGTATGCTGTAGTTTAGCATTTTGTCTATGTAATTTACAGAAATTATTACAGAAAATAAACTTGTTTCATTTGCATCTCTTTTGTTAATGTTTTCTGAATTCATAAGCACTTCTGTAGCTTCTGAAGATCTGTTTGATAGCAATTCAGTGGTAGGGTTTTTATATCCTGTGTGATGCTCTGCTATCTCACACCAAGTCATTCTGTCTCCCAGCTCTTGGGCTCATCCTGAGCTCTTCCCTGTCTATCAGTCACTTTGGGGCAGCTGCATCACAGCACTTTAATTGAAAAACTGCTTCCCACTTGAACTGTGTGTGTTCTTTTTTATCTGTTTCAAAGCTTCCACTGGCTTTTTCCCCCACTTCCTTCTTTCCTTATTTTTTTTAAACTAACACATGGAAAAAGAAGAAGAATTCATATACATTTTTCCTATGCCATTAACAAGGATAATTCATTCCTGAGATAACTTGCAGCACTGAGGAGCTGGAGGCAAGAGAACAGAGACAGGCTTGGGACCTGTCTCAAAAAACAAAAGAAAAAACATCTACAGCCATGCCACCCTGAACGTGCTCAATCTCTTCTGATCTTGGAAGCCCTATTAGTACTTGAATGGAAGAAAAACAAAATACCTCTTATAAATAATAAAATACCAAATGGCAATGCAAAAGGTGCAATTAATTAAGTACTTGGCATTATTTATCATAATATAACATAACAAGGCCATTTCCCATCAGCCACAATGTTATTCCACTGCCTCTACCTCAGTACTTATTACTGCTTCATACTATATCCTGAAACTTGATTTCAAAGAAATTACGTGTGTAATGTTCAAGGTTTGCTTATTGAACTTTTAATACTCTCCTCCAACACCAAAAAAATAAATAAATCAGTAGTGCAAATTGTATGAAGTTATTTTTATTTTAAATTATCAAGTGCATATACCATGAGGAGAATTTACTTCCATTGAGGCCAACCTAACAACTCAGAAGATGACTTCATGGGGACAGTCTGCTGGGCAGGAAATCTAGAGAAACCCAAACCACAGTCTCTTAAATGGAAAGAAATGCCTCAGAAGCCAAAGGAAACTTGTACCTGTCAATGACTAGATGCCAGGCAACAACCATAAGAAACATCTTGGAGATTGTGCTGTCATCCTTTTTAACTGCTGAGCAGTATTTCATAGTGCTATATTTTATTTAACTAGTTCCTCATTGATGGGCATTTAATCGCTTCTAGTATTGTACAGCTGCAAAAATGATGCAGTGACCATTCTATGTATTAATATCTTCACATGTGTGAGGAATCTTTGGATAATTTTCAAATTGCCCATTTTCACATTAGCTTCCATCATGGTACAGGCAATTTTTTAAAAAGCAGAATATTATAGGTATCATTACATAAAATGAAAATGAATAGCCTTTTCTTCATGTTGGTTGAATGAGAAATTAATTTGTTCTTACATAAACTTTGTTAAGACAAGCTCCAAAGCCTTTAGTAATTAAACCCACCCATCTTAAGATCAACACATGATATGCTGTATGGTGAGAATGCTCCCAGAACATGTTGAAGCACAGTCTTTTCAATGTGACACAACTCTGGAATGTTGAGTGCTGACAACAGCAAAAGCACTATCCAGCAATGACAGAGGCAACACTTTTTGAGTAAAAGTAAAAGGCAGGTTGCAAGGCAAAATGAGAGCTGGAAAAAGCAATAGACAAAGGAAGCAAGATATTTTTGTTCATCTTACAGCAGAGAACTGTCAAGTATTATTTCTCCAAGAAATAAGCAAAATACCAAAGTTCTATTATGACTGTCACCATAAATAGGTCTTAGAAACTGGCTAAGGAAACTGTGGGAAAAACAAAGCGTGTGGAAAGACTTCCCTGAGGAGTCAGTTAAGCCCCCACAAACTGTGGTGACTAGGAGGGAAAGAAAGAGATATTCTTGCATATTATAAACCAGGCCCTAAAAAGAGAAGAAACAGCCTATTCAAGAACTGACCAGATGTACCGATTATTGAATGGACAAAGTTTTTTAAGAGGGAGAGATAAGTAGGGCATTAGCAAATAATGTAAGCTTCGAACAGCCAGAAGAGATGTATGGTAAGGATTCCCTACACCACAGGAAGATTTTGAAGCCATGAATTTACATTAAGTTAAACAACACTCTAGTAGGCAGAACAAGTACCCTTTCATACCCTTTCCATAATATCCGTCTTTGTAATCTCAGTAATCTGTGAATATGTTAAGTTACATAGCAAGAGATAATTAAAGTTGCTAATCAGTTGACCTCAAAATAAGATAATCCTGGATATCCTCATTTATTAAAATCTTGGTTCCAGCAATATTAGGAGGCAGTGGAAATTTTAGAAGGTGGGGCATAGTTGGAGGAAGTAGGTCCTTTGTGATGTGCCTTTGAAAGTATATTGAACCTGGGCAGCTTCCTCATTGTCTCTGCTGCCCAGGTGCTGCAAAGTGAACAGATCCCCTCCACTATGTGTTCCTTTCCAGAATGCTTTGCCTTGTCACAGGTCCAAAAACAACTTGGCCATGTTGCCATGGACTGAAACCTTTGAAACCATGAGCCAAAATAAATCCTTCAATTAACCTCATTTGTCACAGCAACAAAAAGCTGACTTCATTAAGGCTTAGGATAGCATCAGGTACGTATTAAGTATTCAATAGGTATTTTAGTTTAGGTGGATGAATGGATGCATGGAGAGTGTGAGAAACTTGCAAATAAACACAAAATGCTAATAGTGTGGTGAATGTCATAACGAGATTGTGGTAAGGACTCTGTAGGGCTCAGAAGTGAAGTAAGACATGTAATCCTATCTTGAGAGGCCAAAAATGTGTTCCAAGAGAATGTTTATTTAGATTTCCTTTATCTTAAATTTCATAGTTCCTGGGATTAGAATACTTTGGAGGTAATCACATTAGATTTGGGTTGTAAGAATCTAGAAATACCCTGTACATACGCTTTTTCTGTACAATTCTGCAATAGCAATGTTTGTCCCTTCTACATTTGGGATCAAGGGAGGACATGTGAGTGAAAATAACTGTAAAAGTACTATTGACCCAGACTATGGGCCTTCTATTCCAGAATTAGTAAACAAATCTAAATCATATACAGTAACTAAAGTTTACATTTGAGAGATGGGGTTAAGATGCAAGGAAGAAAAAGTATCACAGAGGTTTGGAACTCTGAGTCTTTAAAGTTCTCTGAGTTTGATTTATAATTTTATAGGTGACAGCAACATGTTTTGTTTTTTTGGTCAGAGCTAATTACATGGAGGCAGAATTGGTGTCAGCTTTAAGAATGGGAATTCAGTACCTATTCTGGTACCAAACTAACCTTCACAATGATTAGCAAAAGCAAGTTTTTGAAAAGAAAGCTTACCTTTAATACACTTAGAAACAGTCTCATAGCTATTTCCTAGAAAGAACACTGAATTTTTTAAATTTGATGATGCTCAACATAGGAATAGAGGAAATAAAGAGTTAAACAACAGAAATTAAGTTCTCCTTTTCTTCTCCATACATGTTACTTACTATTCATGAAGTCACAAAAAATATCATAGAATCTTGGAACTGGGAGGGGCTTTAGAAAGCAAGTGGCATAGTCAAGAACATAGGGATCTGTGGATTGTGACCTGTTTCAGCCACAAAGTCAAAATCACAACCATGACATCTTGAAACCAACTTCATTGCTCTCACCATTGTTCCATGCAGAGGGTTTTCTTGGGAAACAGAATAGAGGTTGGGACCTTTCCAAAATTTTGGCTCAGGAGCTTGAGGGTACAGATTCTAAAGCTTCCACCCTAGATCTGTAAAGAACAAACACCAAATGTAAATTCCATCTTGAAGATCTCTGTAAACATTTTTCTCTCTCTCTACTTAGCATGCTTTTTTTTTTTTTTTTTCCAGAGGTATATATTCTTTCCACCCTGACTTGCTATGGGCTCGGTTCACTGCAGGGTTCATGACAACATTTTCACAAAACACTAAATGTCAGAGTTCGATTTGGGCTACAATTCCCTCTGCATCTGTGTGCATTACTACTGTGTTTTGATCCACTGAAGGGGTGTGACATAAGAATCTATGGATTCATCATTTAGGCCTATGTGGTGTATGCCAAATGTTCTCTCCTCCCTAAAAGTATTCCCTGAACTGCTTATCATTAGCAGATCTAGTGGTGCATTTCTTAAGCTACTCACTTAGTGTACTCCATGTTCCTAAACAAACCTTTTGCCAATCTTACCGGAAGAAGTGACAGACAGTGCAGCACTGTCAACAGTTATACCTGAGCCTGTCCTCAGGGGTCTAGAGGCTGAGAACACCAGGAAACTGCTGGGGTGCGGGCTGAGCCCAGGAGAGAGCAGGCGTGGCCTGCACCGGGTTGTGGCCAAGCACTACCTGTAAACGTCGCATTTTGAACAAGTTGAGTCCTGGGCCCGAAGCTACTTCCCATGCTTTGATGGAACTTATCCTCTCTTATGAGTCTTCATCTCTGAGAGGTCAACAGAGCAGCGGAGACAGGTTCGAGGACGAACCTGAGACCCTTTGTATCTTGACGACCCGCAAGAGCCTAATGGCCGCAGAGCTTCCGGTTTCGAGGCGACCGGAAGTGCTCCGCGTTGCCGTGACTACAGGCTCTGGCGCTCAGGCAGCGTTCTGTTCCCATGGCAACCCCATTGTTTCCAGAGCCAGAACCTCAGCGGTAAGCGCCAGAGGCGGACCTGGCAGACCGACTAGCTGCCGCAAGGCACCGTGTGGTGCCCGGAACGAGGTGGGCCGAGGCCAGGACGCCGACGCCTCCAGCGGTGGCGGAAAAGCCTGGCCCAGGGATTCCGGAAGGCTAGTTCCGGGTGTGGCTTCTCTGCCGTTGGCCAGGTACGCTGGACGCTCGCCTCGGAGCCGCCCTCGCCAAGCCTCTCGGGTGCAGTCCGGGTAACCCAGCCCAGGGGGGCTCGACACGTGGAGGCAGGGTTTACGAACTTACAGAGGAACAACCGCGGAAAGAAGAGCGCGATCTGTATTTGAGAGAGGGGCCAAAGTTGGGTGTGCCAATTCAGGACTGTGTGGAGCATCATAGGAACAGGGGGTAGCAGTTTGAGGGGTCAGAACCCCTTGCCCTGGCCATAGTTTTGAAGATAGGATTTAGAAAGAGAAATCAGGGAATCTTGCCTTTTTGTTTTGTGATAGTGGGTCTTCTGGAGCATGGGTCAAGGAATGAGTGACATCCTTAAGGGTGAAATGAAGAGTGACTTGGAGAGTGTTAACGTTCAATAAATGTGCATTCAATGTGGATTTAATCAACAAGGATAGACTTGAGAAATGAATTTCACAAATAATTATAAATCACATTTTCCAACATGGGTTTCCACCACTCACCCCATCAGCTAACAACAATAACCAAATTAGACACATACATTTTTAGCTCCTTAACTAGAGCTTTCTATTAAAAACTGAAATGAGAATTAACCAATGCACTAGTTATATTTCATTTAGTATTGAGAGCTGGTTGCTTTATTTGGCTCCTTTTTTACCTCGGGCCTGCCAAACTGTTTTTTGGTTGTTTTTTTTTTCAGTACTGGAGTTTGAGCTCAGGAACCCAGGCTTGCTAAGCAGGTGCTCTACCACTTCAATCACTCCTCCAGCCTTCCAAACAGTGGTTGAGGTTTGAGTTGAATACATGACTATAGTTAGGATGATCCAAGAAATGTAAAGGTGTGACTTTTTAGAGGTTAAAAAAAAAAGTCCAGGCATTTTGGAGAAGTAATACGGAGTAAAATTAGTAAAAAATAAATACAACTCTTTGGTAAATGCCTTCAATTTCTGCTTCCTTGGGGTCTCCACCCTTGAATTGCATAATCTAGTTGTGGATTTATATTTGGCAGTTCTAATTTAACATCTGTTGGATGCTATTGTTTAGAGATACTAACTCCAATACTAATTTAATGTTAGTAGCATCCAACCCCTCAACATTTAATGTTAGGATCATTCAAGAGGTAATAGAGCAAACTTCTAAGCTTTTTCTCCCAAAGCTGACATCAAATGTGATTTTTGATAGGAAGATGCAAGCCAGGCCCATCCGCATTCCAACCGTAAGCAATGACACAGACTGGGACTTCTGCTTCCACCTGTAAGTACCACAGAGCCTTGATATCATAGCTATTCACTGGGACCAGAAACACTGGGACCTTCCACGACAAACCTGCTTGAGAAACTTTGCATGCACATTAGATAGAAGAGAAAGGTCCACTTCTGCAATGTGGTTTTAATAATAATTGTGGCATAATAGTCATTTGTATCTAAAACTTATGCAAATGAAAGATAATTGAGTTTTTCCTAACTTAAGAAATTTAAGTTTTAAAAGATAAAGACTGGTAAAGTCATAGAGAAAAATATAACCAAATCAGTAAGAAAATTAAGTTTCATGAAATAGAGACAATGATTAAATTTTTTAAAACTTCATATCATAATAGATAATGCTTATCTTAAGATGGATAGGCCCATCTTATGGGCCTATCCTCTGATTATCCCATGAGGGAGATGCCGTCATTACCACATTTTATAATGAATGTAAATCAGTGAGAGATTAAGCAGTTTGCCCAAAGTCAGCCAGTTAGTGGAATTTAAAACCAGGCAGTCTAATTCCAGAGTCCATTCTTTAACCATTTCTCTCTACCAGGGGATCTCATCCTTGGTGCTATTGACATTTTGAGTTGGATAATTGTTTGTTTTTAAGAACAATTCTATGTATTGTGGATGTTTAGCAGCATCTCTATCCTTTATTCACTAGATGTCACTAGTATTGTCAAGTGTACCAACCAAAAATATCTTTAGATGGGGCCAGATGTTCACAGGGGGCAAATCATCCTTAGTTGCAAACCATTGTTCTACGAGGGTCATCTTTTTTAAAATGATTTTATTAGTATAGGGGGATACATTTTGATATTTACATATGTGCTTACAATATATCTTATATCATTCTCCATCTTTCTCCCTCCCCCACTTCTTCAACAGGTTTCATTTCACTTCAATTTCAACAGGTTTCATTCTTCTATTTTCATATATGGATACAAAATACATCCACCATTTTCACCCTCATTCCCCCTTTCCTTGTGCCTACTGCCTCCTACTGGTACTCACCTCCAGGAAAAGATCTGTTTTACTCTTTTGCCCTTTATTTCTTTTTAAGCATATATTCATAGTCCAAGGGGGTTTTGCCATGGTACTTCAGGCCTATACCAAGGCCATCTTATTAAAATACAATGCAAGCCATAAATATGGAACTATGACAATTGAAGTTACAAAATGTAGAGTTTATGGTAGAATATCTCAGATATCATCAGATAATTATGCCAAATACAATATTATCAGTAAGAATTCACATTTATAAAGGCAACATATCGAATAGTTACAAGTCTATCAAGGTTTATTGCTTTTGCTCTGACTTTTCTTTAAGATCTATAACTAGCCAACATTATTTTGCCATGTTATCTTTTATAGCAGGATGTTGAAAGCTGATTCATAGATTTGCATTCTCAAATAACTTATGAGGACCCCAATGTTTGTCATTTCTTTAAGGTCCCCACTAATGAGGACTTCTACCCTTGGTCTCAGCTTAATTTCATTCAAGGCTTAATTTAACATATTAGGGCTTATAATTTTAATATGCATAATTGGTAATTCTTTGGTGACTTACTATATTTAACTTCTGTGCCAGGTCTATGAAATATGCAGCCCAAACAGAATTTTCTTTTGAGAGAAAAATGTTCTTTCTGTTAGTTTTCTTGAGTTATAATCTCTTGCCACAGATTTCCTCTCTCAGAGTTTTTCAAACATTCTAGAGACTTTTTATGGACTTGTTCGTTAGTTCCTTATGATGTTACATTCATTATTTGAATTAACTGTGATTTAATATCAGAAACAAATTGAGACTCAGCACCTGTGCTGGTGGAGTTTACTTAGTAGAAGGTTTAGTAACAAATAAAGAAACAAAAATAATAAGACTACAGTATGAATTGCGTTATAGTAGATATTTGGGGGAAATTTTGCAAGCCTTTTGGGTGGTAGTTTGATTGCTACTCTAGAGACTTCCATCATCTGGGTTGTGTCTTGAAGGAGAATACAGAATTCAAGAGTCAGAGGGGAGCCGAGATTATCACCTGTCGTCACATTGCCAGCCATCCTTGGCTTTTCTGTTGAGTTAGCATGTCTGCTAAATGCATGCTTGTCTGTGGGTAGACTATCCCACCTGGGCCTGGACCTGAAAAAATGTTGCTCTCCTATCCACATGACCTGGCATGCTTGGATGTTTTGGATATATTATTTGCAACAAGACTATGGATGGATATTAGGTAGCATGTAATTTTTTAAACTTGGTATAAAAGATTACACTTGACATTTATTTTCCTGTCATAGTTTTCTGCATTTCCTTTTCATTTTAAAATAAACATTCATTTCCTAAGTAATCAGTGGAAAAGAAAAATAATTTTTCTGAGGCAAGTTTTCACTAAATAGCCCAACCTATTCTGGAATTTGAGATCCTCCTACTTTATCCTTCTATGTGCTGGGATTATAGGCAGGAGCCACCTCATTTAGCTCACCACATTTATTTCTAACACAACTGAGAAGGCCATTTCTCTTCTGACTCTGCACTTGATCCAGCGTGGGTTCCCTCCCCTCATCCTGGGGACTCGCAACCTCTTTAGTTAGCTTCCTACCATATGTTGAAGCTTTTGAGATTAATGAAAGAGGACACATGAAGTCTAACCTTAAAAACATTAGTTCCCTGTCCCTTATTTCACTATATCCATTTACTTGTGTGATTTATATCAGAATATTTTAGGATTTTAAAGATCATCCAATTCAGTACCCTTATTTTGTAGAAGAAGAAACCAAGTCATGGAGATAATGATAATAGTAATAGCTAATGTTAAATGAGCACTTAATAGGCACCTTTATTGTGCTAAATGATTTGGATTATCTCATTAATTCTCCATCTTCATCAGGTAGGTATTCAATTATATATTGGATTAATTTTATAGAAAGGTAGATTAAGTAATAGTTTATTTAGGGTCATATATTTTGTAAGCAGCAGAACTACGACTCTAATGCAAGTGACTAGTTCTCCAAATCTGTTTACTTTAAAGCACTACATTCTTATCCTAGATACTACGCTTTGAGGGTGACATGAGTTTACCACCTATCTTTATTCCAAGTTTAATTTAAAAAGCATGTCCATGTCCTCAGGTGGGAGCTCTATAACCTTTAGCTTTATCTTGTTTGAGAATCTTGACTCCATGTCCCCTCACACCCACAGGTCAGAGCAAACCAGGATCCCAGCACACCAACAAACAGATGAATTATGTTCCACTTGTGAGTCTGGAGAAAGTGAAGAAGACACTACAGTCCAGGAAGGAGAGAAGGCCATTGATCATATGTCTCTTCCCAGAGAAAAATTAGCTCAGTCACAGAAGAAAATAACTCACCTGATTAAGGAAAAAATGGTAAAGCAAACAAAAAATTCACTAGGTTTTTGTTTCCATTTAAAAATATGCCCATATTTAGAGAAGCTCTTCCTTTACTGCAGAATGAAGCACATGAAGTAGAGGAAGGTGTTGTATTTCATTGTGAGTAGGAGGAACAAAAAAACCAAAGTATAGTTGGGGAGCCAGCCTATCTTTCAGTTTTGTGCCTGGTTTGCTATCTGTTCCTTTTTTGGAGTGTTTATGTTCCAAACTTTAAACTGAAAATTAATGTTTGCTTTGCCCTGTTTCTGTTTGATTAGCCTTTATTAAAAGTTTTTCACTTCTCCTAGAAGGGCTTAGTATGATATCTCTTAGGTAAGAAGAGGGTCAGGATGGTGAGGCAGGAGGCTGAAACATGGGTTAACTAAGCAGAGGTCTGGGCTCAGGCCCAACAATGATGTGGGTAGGACGCCTGCATTTACAGTGAAATTGTAAGTAAACCAAAGGACAAGAAACTGGAAGAAGCAGAGGCCAGATAATGCATTTCTAAGATGGAATCAAGGATTTGGAAACTAGGATTTCCAAGCAAGTTTCTGAGCAAGAGTTCAAAATTCAGGATCCTGAGACAGGAACACATCAGCTTTCATTATTAGAACACAGATCCAGCCTGCTTCTCTTCTAGAGCATGATTTATCAATAGAGGAGTTCATACGCTACTTTCAGTCCATTCTTGGTTAAGAAAGTAATAATTTTAAAGTATATGTGTAAAAAAGGGGAGATGGCTCAGGAAAGGCTGAGATGTACTTCAGAGGCATATAATAGAAACTGATACCTCTCTATCATCGATTTATAGATGGGTATCTATAAATTTACCTCTGGAACTTATATAGAGAACTTTCAAAGGACAATCATCTTGGCCTGGACCTATCACTAGTTCACCTATCTAGTTTAGAAAGATCGTTTCTAGAAACAAACAAACAGAAAAATGTATCATCTTCCATGGAGTGCAAATGTAGATTTTTAAGGCTTGGGAACTCCTTGGTTAGATCATAGGAGTTCAATGTAAACCATCCCAGTACTCATAGGCCTGAAGGGAGGGGATGCTACCATCTGGAATAACTGTGCTGAGATGACTGCTAGAGCCCACATTAGTTATCTTATTTTCGTAAGGGAAAATGACTATCCAGAGCATGGGTAGAACTCAAAGCTTTAGACTCACATTTTAATGATTTTTCATGGTATTCTACTTTTTTCCTCAAAATAGAACTTAATATTTGCTGTGGTCAACCCATAGGCAACTCTCAAAAATGATGACTGGATTTTTTTTTAAAGCATCAAGGGAAAAATCCATCTTCCATTACTTGCATCTATATTTGAGCAGGAAGCAAACTAAGTATCAGATTAGGTGGGATACATAGGAGTCAGGAAGAAGTAGTCCTCAGATTCACATAAGGTGTTACTATACCTGCATATTACTCTTTAAGTGAGTTACAATTAGATAGCATTTAACAAATTTGGGTCACTTAGACATGGACTAATTTTCTTTTCTTAAAGTAACTATAAGGTAGATGGTATGGGCTTCCAGTCTCAGAAAAAGAAGCTGGGATCTGGGTGATCCTCCCTAAAGCAACATAACTTAGTAAACATTATAACCGGTCTGAAACTCCAGGCTTTTGATTCCTTGAAGGGCTGTTTACACTTCACCAGGAAATTGATGCCTGCCTTTGTTGACTGCTACAGCCAACAAGTAATTGTGTTTGTACAGTCACTGAAATCAGTGACTTGAATGTACAGTTTTGTGATTTCTTGGAGATCTCTGCACATCAGTTCTACAGTGGCAGAGGCATTCTCCCTATCCCCCCCTTGTCCTTGTTAATAAAGAGATAATTCATACAACAAATACTGATTATAATACTCCTCTGTGAGCTGGCCATACAACAGTGAACATGAGGAATAAGCTTCTTTCAAGGAGCAATCTTCTATTTGGGTAGACAGGTAATAGACATGCCAACAGAAAAGAATAGTTAACACAAGGTCAGATAGAAATGAGGGCCATGAAGTAAAAAATAAAATAGGTAATGGGTTAGTGAGTGACTATTTTAGAAAGGTGGCCAAGAATAGCTTCTTCTCTGTGGTGAATAAAATGAAAATGAACTGAGAGACTGAACTACATGAAAGAGTGTCCCAAGCAAGGGGAAAAGTAAGTGCAAAAACCCTATGCTGAAAATTAATTTGCCCTATTCAGGAACAGATGGACAAGTCTGATTATAGTAGAGAGTAAGAGGAGAAGGAGAATATTAGAAAATGAAGTGTGTTTGTGGGGAGGGATGCAGGTAGGGTCCTATTAAGCAGAGCCTTGGAGGTCATGGTAAGGACTTAATAATTTCATTTTAAAATTTTCATTTTTTTGATGAAACTTTTTTAATGTTTTGAGTTTTGTGCAGGAAAGTCACAGGATCTAATTTATACTTTTAAAAGATTATACTGGCACATTAAGTATGTTTAAAATACACGTAAGTTTATAATAATAGCAAAGTATTTGATCACCATTGGATGATGCCAGTGAATGAACTTACTATTTTGGAAGCTGGTAAGTAAAGGGAAAGAATTATCACATGTCCTGCCTTTATAAACTGTTGTAAGTAACCAAAAATCAGGGGATGTTTATCTTTAGAGAATTATTCCGACTAACATATGAAGAAGGATGGTAGAATTAGAATTATCACCATTTTATAATCTCTTATGAATTGGTCCATGCAGTTGCACTAAGAACAGAAAAAGAGATACGTCAATTATCTTCTGATGGAAGAGCATACTACTACCTATGAAGTAGTTGTGCTTAAAAATAAAAACAAAGGAAAGTTGAGTGTGGTGGTTCACACCTGTAATCTCAGCAATCACTATGTAGAAGCAGGAGGATCACAAGTCCCAGGCCAGCCTGGGCTACATAGTGAGACCCCCCCAAAAAATTGAGGCTGAAGATAACGAAAATTCTAAGTCTACCAGTATAAAGGTAGAACAGAGAACAGAGCCACGTGTTAAATGACAGCATGAGGATGTACTCAAAAAACTCATTTCAATATAGATTGAAATGCAATCTATATGTTCAATGTAATCTGCATCAAAATTCTAATGACATTCCTCACCAAGATAGAAAAGTCAGTCCGGAAGTTCATAGGAAGCACAAAAGACCTCAAATAGTCAAAGCAATGCTGAGCCAAAGAGCAATGCTGGAAGAATCACAATACCTGACTTCAAACCATACTACAGAGTCATAGTAATAAAAGCACCATGGTACTGTGACAGAAACAGTCATAAAGATCAGTGGAATAAAATAGAAAACCCTGACACAAATCCATGCAGCTCCAGCCATTTGATTTTTGAAAAGGGAGCCCAAAACATGCTTTGGAAAAAAGATAGCCTCTTCAACAAGTGGTGCTGGGAAAACTGGATATCCACCTGCAGAAGGTTGAAACTAGATTCCAGTCCTTCACCTTGTACTAGCATCAATTCAAAGTATATTAAAGATCTTAAGGTAAGATCTGAAACAGTGAAAGTACTCCAGGAAGAAATACGGAGCACACCAAACCACATATGCATTGGTAATAACTTTCTGACTAGACTGCCAATAGCTCAGCAATTGAGAGAAATGATTGACAAATGGGACTGCATGAAACTAAAAAGCTTCTGCACAGAAAAGGAAACAGTCACTAGACTGAAGAGACAGCCAACGGAATGGGAAAAAATCTTTGCCAGATAAACATCTGACAAGGGATTAATAACCCGAATATACAGGGAGCTAAAAAAACCTAACCCCTCAAAGGATCGACAGCCCACTGAATAAATGGGCAAATGCACTGACAGACAGTTCTCAAAAGAAGAAGTACAAATGGCAATAAACATAAGAGCAAATGCTCCACATCTTTGGCCAGAAAGGAAACACAAATCCAAACAACATTGATTTGGATCTCACTCCAGTCAGAATGGCCATCATCAATAACACAAACTCCAACAAATGCTGGCGAGGATGTGGGGAAAATGAATAGGTCTACACTGTCAGTAGGAATGTAAATTAGTGCAACCGCTGTGGAAAGCAGTATGGTGGTCCCTTAAAAACTAAAAGTGGAGCCACCATATGATCCAGTGATACCACTCCTGAGTATAAACTCGACGGGACGTGTGCCAGGACACCATAGAGCCACTTGCACGCACGTGTTTATTGCAGCTCTAGTCACAAAAGCCAAGCACTGGAAACAGCCCAGATGCTCCACAACTGAATAGATTAAGAAGATGTGGTTTAGGGCTGGCAGAATGGCTCAAGTAATAGAATGCCTGCCTATCACATTTGAAACCCTGAGTTCAAGCTCCCGTACTGCAAAAAAAAAAAAAAAAAAAAGAAAATGTAGTATTTGTAGTATGTATATATATACACAATGGAGTGTTCAACCATTAAGAAGAATGAAATTATGTTGTTTGCAGGTAAATGAATGGAACTGGAGATCATCATGATAAGCAAAATAAGCCAGGCTCAAAAAGTCAAAGGTCGCATATGTCTTCCCTCATATGTGGAAACTAGACCTGTAAATTAAATGTAGAAATAAATACATATATAATCATACATATACATATACAAACATATATAGTGAGAGAGAGAAGATTGTATTAGTGGATCTGTCTGAGGGGACTATAGGAGGTGGGAGAGGAAAAGAGAATGTTAGAAAAATATTAAAACATCCTATCTATATATGAATATAATATAACAATGCACTGTAAGGTGTGGAATAATAGGGTAGCAGGGTGATAGACAAAGAGTAAGTAATTAGGAGGCTAATCTTTTTTTTTATTCATATGTGCATACAATGCTTGGGTCATTTCTCTCCCCTGCCTCCACCCCCTCCCTAGCACCCACCTCACCCCCTTCCTCTCCCCCCCACCTAGGGGGCTAATCTGATTAAAGCATGATATACTTTATATCGTGCTTACCTTAAATGCCAAGGTGAGATCCCCTTGGGCAATCAATATTCACTTTTAAATATTAAGGAACAGAAGGTTAAAACAGGTCTTTTCTGGGGGTAGATACTAGTGGGAGGGGGAGGGCATAAGGAAAGAGTGAATATGGTGTATGTATTTTGTATTCATATATGAAAATAGAATAATGAAACCTGTTGAAATTGTTCTAAGAAGGGGGAGAGGAGATGAGGGAGAACAATGGAGGGATGGAGGGAGTAAATCTATTGTAAGCACCTATATAATATATACAATTATACAATGTACCCACCTGTACAGCTATTATATGCTAACAATTAAAAAAATTAAAAATTTATCTCTGTGGGAAATACTATAGTAAATAACCCAGTTTCTTCAACAAATAATTTCCAAGAAAAAAAATTAGAGATAGAAGAGGAACCTATGGTGAAAAGAGACTCAAGAGACTGATCTCAGTCAAAAACTGTTTAAAATAATAGATTTGTGAGATGAGATATTGATATTAAGGAATAATTGTTAATATTTTGGTGAGATAATGATTTTGTGATTGTTTATCATTCCAGATCTTTTAGACATACTTGTGAAATACTTATATAGAAATGATGTAATGTCTTTGATTTGCTACAGCACAATAAAAGGGAGGGTATATCAAGGAGTATAGATAAGAAACAAGATCAACCATGAGTATATAACAGATGAAACTAAGTGATTCACTCTCCATATTGTTGCTAAAGTTTTTCATGATAGAAAGTTAAAAGAAATCACTCTGGCTGTCACATAGAAGGTAGTGTGTAGAACAAAAGTAGAAGCAGCAAGGAAGGGCTATAATGTCCAGCCAGGTAAATTATAAGGGTACCTGAGATTAGGTATTCAAGGTAGAAATAAAGAAAAGGGCTTGGATATAGGAGTATGGTGGAACCAACCAGACTTAATTGGCTGGATTTGGCATGGGAGTGAATGAGAAGAAAAAAGAGATCACAGGTGTGGCTTAAGTGGTAGAACACCTGCCTAGAAGCACATAGCCCTGAGTTCAAACCCCAATATCACCAAAAAAACAAAACAAAACAAAAGATGACAGGCAAATTCACTTCTACCTTCTATTGAGGGACTAGGAATATTTTTCCTTCCCTAAAAGCATGATGACTTCTTTTGTTCTCTACAGAATATCCAAGCAAACAAGGAGCTGATTCGATGTGTTATCCTTTCTCAGATTATTTTTGGGGAACAACATTGGAAATGTGCACAGGCTTTGGCCAACCTGGCTTATGGCTACCTGACACTGAGAGGTACTTGGTTTCCCCACCTGGGTCTGGGTGGGGCAGCCTGTAAGGCCGAACTAAGCCCACACAAACCTCCTTAGGATGAGGATAACTGGGAGGGTACCCCCCTCTCCCCAGTTCACAATTCATCAAGAGAAAGGAGAGTCTATGGATAAGGAACACAGTGTGTCTTCATAGTATAGAGAATAATGGTGATTATGATAGTTGGTGAGTATTTGTCAAGTGCCAAGATAGTTTTATTCAATCCTCATAGTATCTCTTTGAGGGGGTTACTAACTACTATTATCCTTGGTTTATAGATGAGACACTGAGTTACAGTTGGCAAAGGACAATGTCCGGGATTTCAGACACAGGTCATTAGTGGAAGGACAGAGAAGTGCAAACACTTAGCATCAGGGAAACAGATGGTACAGAAGTACCATTTGCTAAAACTAGAACCATTTGCTAAAACTAGAACCAAAGTAAAAGCTCCATAAGGGCAAAAACTTTGCATTAAAGATTTAATAAATATTTGTTGGTGTATTAATTGAGTTACCTCAGTCATTCCTGGAACAAGAGTCAGTGGGAGCTAAGAGGAGGGTATTCTTTGTGAAACTCCTTAAACAGAACATTGCAGGTTCTTTCCAGACCCACGGGGTTAGGGTAGAACAGAACACACCTTAGAACAGACAGCTTATGCCTATGGTGGTAATGAAAGGGTCCAGATACCAAGGAGTTTGGAGAGTTACCAAGAGGGTTGAAGAGAGGTAGTAACATAATCCAACTTATGTTGTAAAATGAGAAATTCTAGCTTGGAACAATGAGGTGAAAACCTTCAGTAAGGCCACTATCCTTCCCAGATGAGACTAAATGAAGGCACTGATCATGGCAGTTGGGATGGAGAAAGGCAAAATGTAGACTTGGTGACATTTAACGAACAATTCTGTATGGAGTGGAAAGTATAAAAAGAGTTGAAGTTGATGTGGGTATGACCTGGACCTTTAACTGAAATAAAGAATTAAAGATGAAGACAGGGGGCTGAGGACATACCTCAGTGGTGGAATACAAGCATGAGTCCTTGAGTTAGATTCCAAGATCCCTAGCACATACACAAAAAAAGGAAGTCCAAGTTGATAGAAAGGGAGGGGGGAAGAAGCTACTGAGTTTTGTTTCAGATAAGCTGAATCCAAGTCTATGTTCATTCAGTAGGCAACTGAATAGTGGATCTGGAGGTGAGGGAAAAAAATGTCCATTTGGAAGGGATTAGCACATAGGAGGAAGTTAAGCTGTGGGAGTGAATGAGCTTGATCAACAAAAGTGTATAGAAAAAGAAGGAACGACAAAAGAAGACATAAAACTAGAAAGCAAGAGCATTAGGGATGGGTAATAAAAGAGGATCCAGCAATGGAAATAGAAGAATCAGGAGGGCTCTTTGTCATGGAAGCCAAAGTAAGAGAGAGGGTTTCAAAAAGTAGTGCAGTGTGGTTTCATCAGTTACAGGTACTAGAAAGAGGTTAAATAAGATAAAGACTGGAGAGACATCATGGAGATGGCAATTGATAGGTTACTGATACTCGGTTTTGGCATGGACCAAATTGGCCAAATGCAAAGATACTAGCTCAATATTTTTGATGAAATTCAGACTTGAAGTTACAACAACTTGAACTGAAGAGGAAGGCTTTGAGAAGAGAGATTTATCTGAAACTGGCACAAGGACAGAGGTTGCTTCTTCTGGAGTGGGAAGAAGATTACTATGGTTGTCCATGCAAGGAGTTTGTTCTGTGTCTTCTGAAATCTTCCCTTTCCATAATGAGCCACAAACTGACTTCTTTTCCAGTTAGATTCCAAACCGAGTCAAAATAAGTAAACAGGTAATATCATAAAAGACAGCAGCCTTTTCTTCCTAATTCACAGTTCTTCCTCATACAGGAATGGAAAATCACATTTGAGATAAGAGATTAGAAGAAAGCAAAGCATGGTAGTTTATTCCTGTAATCTCAGCACTAGGAGGGCTGAGGTAGGAAGATCACAAGTTTAAGGCCAGCATGGTCTATATGGCAAATTTCAGATCAGCCTAGGTTACACAGGGAAACCCTATCTCAGGAAGGGGAGTGGGAAGAGATATTTATTAATCTATTAAGAAGATTTGTTTGTTTGCTTTTCCTACATGGGAGAAAGAGCTTCCTGTTTAGATGCAGTGTTCACATACAATATATGTACTTAGAGTTGAACCCAGAGTTTCTGACATCCAGCCTGGAGTTTTTCTAGAATAGATTGGGGGGTGAGCTTTCCTCGAGGATATACCATTGCCTTTTATTTCAGCTGTAGTCCTTTACCCAGTTTCTCCCTTAAGCTTTTTTTTTATTATTCTGGTCGATGGAATAAGGCAAGTAAGGCTTTGAAAATTCTCAAACCTTTAAGAGAAATGAAGTGCTTGCTGAGCTCCATTTAGTTTTGTTGTCATTAATCCTGAAACTGCTTTATAATGGGCAGAATATATGAGCCAGCCTTCCATGTGGGCAGGACAAATGCATTTGTGTATTCATGCCTCATTGCACGTGTGCATGCTTTATAGCCACCAGACCAGCATTCCTCATTTTCCTCTGAGTCTTTTCCAGTATTGGGATATGGGAGATCAAGCTCAAAGGTTGATATCTCTCAATAAACAGTCTTTCAATGAGTATTTAGTGAGACACTTATATCCATGAAATATTGTGAAGAGCATTTTGGGAAATACAATGTGCAGAAGACCTGAAAGAACTCACAATTGCTTGTGGAGAGTGAGCTACCTAGAGATCTAACTATGTCAGCAGACATTATAAGGTAAATGCTGTTTAACTGATTTAAATAAATGGCTTTGGAATGGTTGAGTGAAATCATTGCTGGCTGAGATGGCATGTGGTAGGTTTGTGGGGGGAGGTGGCATTCAAGAAGAACTATAAAAAATGAACAGGGTTTAGGTGGTAGAAGAAAAAGGGTGAGGGGAATTCCAAGGAAAGAGAAGGACAGAGGCCAAGACATGAAGGAGGAACATGCAACATCTATTTATTCAGCAATAAGCAGCCTTGTCTTGCCAAGATTTGGACTGGGAAGATGAATCTGGAAAGGAGGATGCATTGTGGAGACCATGGTGGGATTGTAGATGCAGGATAAGGATTTTATCATTTATTGGGAGGCAAGGAAGACTACTGGAAATTTTCCAGCAGGATGATAAAAATGTCAAAGTGTACTTTTGGCAAGGTTAATCTAGTGGTGATAGCTAGAAAGGAAGCTGCCTCGGTTATCTGGGTCTAAAACTTGGCTAATAACATAAAAATAGGTGAGGAAGGTAAAGATTCAGGAGTCTATGAAGGAATAATACATTTATTTTTTTAACCAGAAATCCCACTTCTGGGAATCTTTCCTAAACACACATATGCAGCATTGTTTATGGTAGTGAAAAATTAGAAACAACCTTGAATCCATCAGTTGCACTGAGTACATAAACACACAAAGACAGATAAAAATGAATGTGAAAAATCTCTATATACTACCAGGAAAAGAGCAGTGTTATAAAACTGTTCTTTTTGTGGAAGTAAGAGGGGAAGAGAAATGAGAATTTGTGCTTATATTTACATAAAGACAGTAAAGGACACAAGAATGAAAATTAGAGAGTTCTTGGAGTAAAAGGAAACAGGATTGGAAGTGAGACCCTGTAAGTACTTACCTTTTCACATAATTTTAACTTTTCAATCAGTAAAATATATTACCTATTCAAAAATAGGTAATTATTGAAAGAAAGAGACTGTGAATGAAGAATTGACAGGACATGGTATTTGACTTAAGGTTGTGGAAAAGTGATGCCCAAAGATAATGTTGACATTTCAGTCACCCAAAGGTACCATTTTCAGAGATAAGTGATAAAAGGAAGTGGACAGGAAAGAAATACTGGGATCAGTTTTTGAAGTATTTTTTAATTGCAATGTAGAACTTACAAGTACCTTTTCACTCGGTGCTAGAAATTTGTACCAAAAATTGTTGAGGATAAAATGAAAATCATAAGCATATGAAGGGCTGTTTGAGACCAAAACTAGACAGGGAAAATTATAAACATGGAGGCAAAGGCTGAAGTTAAAGGAGTTAATAAAACTTTTGAAAAGCAACGAGAAAAGAGAAAGAAACTGAAAGACTTGGAAAATGTACACACTGATGGAAAGGAATGAAGGACCCCAGAAAAAGTTAGCATAGAATCAATTAGCAAATGATCATAAAACAGAACCAGATTGGTTCTGTACCTTGGAATCAAGAAAGTAAGGGTACCTGATGCTGCAGCAAGGTGAGATCTGAAAAACTGTGATTATATTAATTTATTAGATCCTTGGGGAACCTCAGAAGACCAGTTTCTCACAGAAGCCAGATCCCAGGGATGAGTAGAAAGAGCAGGAATCAGTGTCTAGACTACCTTCCTTCCTCCCTTCCTTCTCTCCTTTTTGGGTGGTGCTGGGGGTTGAACTCAGAGCCTTGCACTTGCTCTATGTAGCACTCTACCACTTGAGCCACTCTATACCCTTTTTAAATTAATTACTTTGAGATAGAGTCTTACTTTATTCACAGGCCAGTCTGGACTGTGATCTTCCTGCTTGTGCTTCAGGGATGACAGGAACACACAACCACACCCAGTCATTGGTTAAGATGGGATCTCACAAACTTTTTGCCTGGGCTGATCTTGAACCATGATCTTCCCTTTCTCCACCTCCCAAGTAGTTAGTACTACAGGCTTGAGCCATCATGCCTGGTTTGTTTGTTTTTTGAGACAGGTTCTTACTATGTAGCCAGGCTGGCTTTGAACTTGTAATCCTACTGCCTCAGCCTCCTGGGTGCTGAATAAACTGTGTGTTCTATATACTATATATTGAAAGGCATGAGGAAGAAGAGGGTCGCTGGAGAAGACAGAAAAAGCAAGTGAAGATAATTTTATAAGAGGAGATGCAGTAAGATTTTTGGTAGAGAGAAGTTGGGAGAGAGCTTGAAGACTTTAAAAATGGAGAAATTGATGGGATGTGGTTCATAAGAGAACATAGACCTTTGTAAAGCAGAGCCTATAAATGGCTGTTGCTTGGTGAGATAGTGTTAGAGGTACCAGAAGTAGAGCTCTGTTGCCAACTCCACCTAAGAAGCTGAGTGACACAGCAGCTGAGAAAGGGCAGGCTGAGAACACTGGATTAACTTGGCACCTAATGGTGACCTGCTTTCAAGTGTTGAGGAAGGAGAATACAGTAATATAAACAAGTAGTTTCCTGCTATTTTTCTCATTATTAATTAAGCAATAAATTAGTCAATCTGTTATTACTGGGAACTTTCCAAGTATTAAGAGATCTGTTTCAAGTATTACAAAATCAGAAAAAAGAATAATAAATTATGAAATAATGAACCCTGTCTTCTCTGTCTAGTGGCAAAAAAAACCCCCAAAAAACTGGTACAGCAACAACAGAGAACAGTAAAAAAAAAACAAAAACCCAGATAATCTGGCCTGTAGGAAGCCTAATACCTACCTGAAGTGAGTTTGCATTTGAGAACGCTACCTTTTTATAGAGATTCTATTAGTCACCCTATGAAAAATATCCAAAGAAAGAACAGATCCAATAAATTACTCAATAGGATAAATTGACTCTGATAATGATAATGGCAGATATTTCTCCAGACTTCATTTAGTCACTACTTAATCCTTTTTCATGAATTAAATTAATCCTTGCAACAACTTGGTAATATAGACGGTATTTTCATTATCACTTTATAGATAGGTGAACTTCAAGCATAGGCAACTAAGTAATTTGTTCAAGGTTCCATTGCCATTCTGAATTTTCCCTCTTCAGTTATCTACTGTCAGTACAGGGAAGGAAGGGTAGTGTCCCTGGCAGGTCAAGGAAAATGATTTGGTCTAGGAGCAGACATTGGGATTACAGATGTGGGGCTTGGAGCTAGAGAAAAAGATGAGGAATCTGTGAGTGTGCTCCACAGATAAAAGTGTATGTTTTTGCATATACATATATACAGTGTTATTTTTATGTAAAGAGAATGTTCTTGCAATTAATGAAATGCAGTTTCATTTCAAAGTGTTACTAATACTGAATTCCTCATATATTTTGTTACGAATTTTCTCAAGTAACAAGTGCCACAAAAGATTATCACAAAGTGGAGGAAGCCATGTGAACTTTTTTAAACATTAAAGCAGTTCTTTAGCTAGGTGTAGTAGTACATGCCTGTAATGACAGCTGACCAAGGTTAGCAAGACCTTATCTCAAAAACAAAATACAAACAAAAGGTTTGTGAATGTGGCTCAAATGGGTGTGTGGTTCAAATGCTAGGGCACTTGCCTGGCATGTATGATGCTGATTGAGAGAGAGAGAGAGAGAGAGAGAGAATTCTTTCCTACTTGAAAGGTTGTAAAACATTTCTCTAGAGCAGTGGTCTCCAAACTCTTCAGCACTAGCTCTTCTATCAGTTAAAAAAGAAAAAAGATCAAACACTCCATATATATGAGAGTGAGAACAAATTGAGAATAACATTAATGTTATGTAATATAAATATTTATAAAAAATTAGAAAAAGAATAAGATAAAAAAAGCCTTTTTTTTTCTCTCCATGTCTTGTGGCATCTTGCATAACCCACAGGAGTATACACACTCCACCTTGTAGACCAGAATAGATTCTGAGGTGAAAGGAAGCATTTTCCCCTTTATGGCTTACTTTAAAGTATAATAAATCATTCCAAATCAAGATCCTGGTTCAGTTTACTTAGGCCTCATTGATTGCCAGTTTAGCTTTTTCATCAGAAGGATCTCAGTGTGGGGCAGGGGAGTGTGAAGACAAGGCACTGTGTAATTAATTGGCTGCTGAGCCTAGAGGAAAAGCATTCCTCTTGGAGATTTCACAACCAGCCCAGCACTTTGGCAGGGAGGAGGAGGCCTGCAAATCCTGGAGGATGTCTCAGAGCAGCTTTTTCCAGTGTCATCATTTTGCTTTTCATTCATGAGTCCAGAAAGAGGGTTGTGCTGATGTGGGGAATTTTCAGTAACTTCTCAGGTTCACCTTTCTTCCCTTAAGGACTCAGGGAAGTACCTGAGCTTGGTTGCTGCTCTCCTTAATGACATACACCCAAGGGCACATCTGGTTGTGGAAAACAGCCTATTTGATAAAAAGAATCTCTCAGTTTTCTACTCTATTGTCTTAGTTTATAAAGTAGCAATCAGTAGCTTCTGATGTTCTAGGCAGAGTTTTCTGACTTTACTAGTTGATGCTTCCTTTCTCAAGTTCTATAAAGACTCCTAAATACCTAACAGTTCAAACCCAACCTCCTCATCTCAGCATCAGCTATGGTTTGAACATGTCATCTCTAAAATTCAGATGTCACCAATGTGAAAGTATTAAGAGGTGGAGCCACTAAGAAATGATTAGGCCAGGAGTGCTTCTCTCTTATGAATGACCCCTGGAAAAGGCTTCACACAGCATTCAACCTTTTCATCTCTTCTACCTACCATGTGAGGACATAGCAAGAAAATCCTAAGTGGATCCTTTGAGCTTGGTCTTTCAAGCCTCCAGAATTTAGTCTGAGTAGTCTGTTTCAGCAATATAAATGGACTAGTTAGCATTCAAGACTTCATTTTACATTTCTAGTGCATACTTTGTATGTCTTTAAATTCCACTTTACCCTTCAGTCAGACTGATCTTATTACCTTCCCTAACACTCCTACAACCTCCCAGCCTGATATAAGCATGTTTGTGCATGCACACATGCTTATTCTGTTTTTATGACCTCAGGCTATTTTTTCCAAGGGAAAACCTTTCCTTTTCTTTATCTGTCAAAATCTTACCTGCTTCAAAAACGGGATAAGCCTCATTCCATCTATAAAGATTTTACTCACTGTTTATCTAAGTATGGCCCTCAGACTGCCTGTATTAATAACCTAAGAAAGTTGTTATCAATGTGAACTTTTGGTTACCACCAGAGATCTTGTTGCTTGCTGTAAATGTGAATCCTTAGTTCTTACCCCACTGCTCATGAGCAGTAACTGCTGGAAGTAAGGTTCAGGAACTGGCACAGGGCAATTTGAGGGCCATGGTTATCTGCTTAGAACCCAGCCCTCTCTTTTGCCAGAGTCCATTTCTCTCCTCAGTTGAGTTCTTAGAAAAGGTATCATTTCTAAAATGATCTTCAGATTAACTGGCTTCAGCATCACTGTTAGAGCTCTTCCAGAGAAGGCTTTGTTCTCTTTCATTGTTGGAACTCATTAAAGAGGTCTTGCACATTTCAAACATGAGGGCAAGTCCTTTCAAATTATCTCTGCTGCCATTCACTTACATTCATGCTGTGAAACCAGGATTGAAGGGCCAAAAGCAAGGCAAGCTGTGTAGGACCTGGGCCAGGAGTATGAAGTGAGGATTAGGAGCCTGGTGGGCCTACTTGGCAGGGGTGAATATGTTTATTGACCCCTAGGTACCTACACAGAAAGAACTGAAAGGGAACAACAGCCATAGTTTTTAATACAGTTGCAAAGAACTAGGGTGGTATGTTCTCTGCTGCCCTTTTTATTTTCCCATCAGGAAAAGGAAAAGGCAAGAGTAAGAATGGTGAGGCAGTAGTCCTATAAACTGAATGTTTGTAAGTTCTCTGTTAACTGGACAAATAGTTTGGGTAAGTACTTGAGAATACCAACCTTTACTTGCAAAACAAGGGGGGAAACCCCTACCACTTCTGTCTAGATGGGGTTTGTCTTCTTAGCAAATGGCCTCACTCTATGTAAAAATTGGATTCTGTGTGTGTGTGTGTGTGTGTGTGTGTGTGTGTGTGTGTGTATGACCAATAAGTATTACCAGCTTCAACTTGGATTGAAAATAATTCCCAGAGGGAAGTAATTACATCCATACCCCTTGTATTTATAAAATGTCTTTTCCAGCAAGCTCAAAGCACAGCACTGTATGGCACAAGATAGTTTGTTCCTAGACTATCTCAATATGCTTGGTAAGGGGCAGTTTCTATAATTATTGTCATTTGCCAATTTGTAGGCAAATTGTAGGATGAAGCTCTGCAGGTAAGAAAGGTCACATGGCATTAGTACAGAATTGGGAAAGGGAATCTCAGCTTCCACTCCTTTAGCAGTGATTTCCAAACTAAGACCCATAGATCAATGCTGGGAAAGTCACATAAGGATCTCTGTGGAGTTCAAAATATAAATTCCTGGACCCATTCCTATAGGAATTCCAACACAGTAGGTCTAGGTGGGGTCCAGGATCTATGTTCTTTATACACATTCTAGATAATTCTGATTCACAGCCACATTTAGGAAGCAATACTATAGGCCATATGACAATTACATTGCCCACTTTATCCTTTTCCAGGATAAAGTGTCATTTTAACGTCTTTCTTCTTGCTACCCACTCTCTAACCTCTTTAGGCCTCCCAGCTCAGGCCAAGAAACATGCTGAGTCAGCCAAGAATATACTGTTGACCTGGAAAGGAAACCTGACCTCAGACGAGGAGAAAAAGGAAATCCTAGAAGTTCTGGTCATACTCTACTACACACTGGGAGTAGCCTGGCTCCTACAGAACCAATATCCTTTCTTTCCTAGACAAGTCTGATGATCAGGGCCACAGGCATACATGCCAGATGGATCATCTCATATGTGGGAGGGTAGGAGAAAAACAAAGTCCTTTTAGCTGTATTGAAGTATTCAGGCCCTCCACAAGGTACTTCTCTCCATCTATAAAGGTATATATTTTCCTCCTGTGTCCATATGAACCCTAAGCTGAGTCTTGGAAGAGGGAATCTCACTAGTGACATATCTCCTCGTCAGTTAAAAGTTTTCCAAGTCTGGCCTGCTTTTTGTTGAGCACTCAAGAAGATCAATATTAGCAGTGAAGATGTGAGTGAATGATGGTGGTGGTAGTGTGAGATGGCTAGTAATTTAAAGACTCTGACAAACTAGGCTGCACGTTGTATTTCCCTGGAGAGCTTGAAGAATTACTGCCATGTGGGTCCAACTGCAAAGATTTAGATTTAGGAGCTCTGGGGTACAGCTGTTCATAGAAATGTTTGGAAGCCCCCTGGTGATTGTAACGTACAGCCCAAACCCCTGACTTAATAGATTTTACTTTTGGTTTTTTGAAATGCTATTGAGAAAACTGCCTGTGAAGCTGGAAGCCAAGCAAAATAAACAAAAGAAGTTCTCCATAACCCCAGAAGGGGACTATGGTATATGCCTGTGTTAGTCAGCTTTCTGACACTATAACAAATACCTGAGAAAATCAACTTATAAAGAGAGAAAGTTTATTTTGGCTTATAGTTTTGGAGGTTCCTGGCTTTTGGGCCTGTGACAAGGCAGCACATGACAGCAGGAGTGCATAGCAGAACAGAACTACTCACCTCATGGCTAAGCGACAAACAAGAAAAAGAAGGAGTAGGGGTATGTCCCTAATGACCTCCCAATAGGCTCCACCTCTAAAAGTTTGCACTGCCTCTCAATAATACCACACTGGGGCCAAGCCTTTACCTCATGGACCTCTAGAGGTCATTTAAGATCCAAACTATAGCAATGCCTCTCCACAAGAAGCTCACGATTTTGATAGCCTTTTGATACTTTCATCTTGGAAGATGTTAAGGGCATTATTTTATGTTCATGAATAATAATAAGCCTGAGCCCATATGTTCCCACTCTTCACATTCCTCTCTATATATTTTTGGTTCTGTTGCTCAATTTGCAAAATCTGATATGTTGTCTTCTGTTATACCCTTAGCAGGGGGCTATTAAAAATGTGAGAAATAGAAGGATGGTTGGGAATTACGGGGGTTTTCTTTCCTGCTATTTGCCTCTGGCCAAAAATCTGCTTTTCTTAGATTTTTTCTAAATGACCCAGAAAGTCCCTTTCAGCACAATTAGTTCCTCTCTTTTCCCATTTCTAAGAAACAACTTGGGAAAAGTGGATAACTGTTATCACAAAGTAAATGTCACTAAAGGAAATCTAGTGTGTTTTACATTTTCTGTTCTCTCCTGCAAACCCTCACCACCCACTGCAGACCTGGATTCAGGCAGCCACCACAGGAAACTCAAGGCCCTTTTTGGGGTTTTTTTGTTATTTTTTTTCCAGAAAATTCTTCCTTCTTGACAACATACACACATGGAGAATAGAGAACATAGTTAAATACCCATTTTCAAATGTGTAAGTTTTTCCAAGGGGTCCTTTTGTTTACTAACTGCTGTCCCTGTGCAATGGTGCAGTAGAAGTTAATGTGCCTGTCATTTGCCTTGACCATTTCACTGGAAAAGAGGCCTATTTCCACCTGCAGAGGGCAGACAGAAACATGAAGGAGCTGAAAGAATTAAATAAGGGAAGCGATTGTGGCGTTCAAATCTCAGAGAAAGACCTAACAATTGCTTTGGGCAGGTAAGATTGGGGCATAGAGAGCTGAAGCTTTTATGAATGAACCCAGAGTTAAATGTTTTGTACTCTCTATATAAGGGGAGAACACTATTCAGAGTAAAAAAATCCAGGAGCTCAAAAGATAATAAAAGAGGCTTGTATTTATCAAGTGTGTATGTACCTACTGTACACTATTGTGCTTAATCCTTGCAACCACCCTTGAGGTAGCTGGCAGATTATGATCTCAGTAGAGAGAGGGCAAGTACACTAAGACTCAGGTTAAACAACTGGTCCAAGATGACCTGGCTTTAAGTTGGATCTGTGATCTGAATTCATTGACTTTTAGCACTTCCTTAACTCCTTCTCATATTTATTCTAGGATTGATTGGGTTTTTTCTGAATTGTCTTCCACTCTGTCTTAAGTGTGACATCTTAACAAATAAGGAAAGAACACTTAGTGAAGACAGTTAACTGGAGGCCATGAAAACTATGCACAGCACGTGCATATTTTAGAAAGTTCTGTTCTGTGCGAAAACAAAGTTCATGGAATTTGTTCAAGCCAGAACAAGACTTAACTGTTTTTAAGTTGAATTAGGGATCCTCTGAGAATCAGGACATTTAGAAATGAGAGTGGGCCCATCAGATTATCAGAAAAAAGATAATGAAAAGTTTACTGTTCCCTAGATTTTTCAAATGTCTTCACATCCTTGAAAGCATTCTGTTTCCAAAACATTAAGCACTTGGCACTGCAGGGCAGATGACTGAATGGTAAGTAAATGAAATACATGTGTCACGTCTCCTGTAAACAACTATGAATCTAGAAGTCAAATGGGAAATGGTGGGGAGATGTTGGAATGTCCAGAGCTAAATCAAACTATTGACTTAAGTCTATCGGGCCATAAATTAGAGTCTGGTGAATGTCTCCTGCTGTCACATAGGCCAGTGGTTCAAGTTTTTCAGCCTTATGTGAAAGAAAACCTTGTTCCTTTTTCAGAATAAATTCAAGTACTTATTTCAGTCATTCATTCCACAATATTTATTTAGTACCCATTTTTCACATGCACTGTTCTAAGGGTTGGAATGCTTACTAGATATAACTATATACTAGACATTGTTTTTATTGTTTTCATTTAATCCTCACCACAGCCTATGAGGGTGAGTATTTTTTATTATTTTCATTTTACAGATAATTTAAGTCATGGAAAGATTAATTCAAGTTGACAGAACTAATAGAAGATTTTGGCTTATAACTGGAGCATCTGTAGTCATAGCTCACTTTCCGTATGACACTGAGTTATGTCTGATATTGACCAAATAGGAAATGGCAACCCCACTTTTCCATTTTAAAGTACAGAGGCTAAGACAAGATTGTCCAAGTTATACAACTTACTATACAAACTTTTTTCTTTCTTTTTAAAAAACTTTTAAGTAATTAATTTTTTGCACTCACCCTTGCACTTGCTAAGCAGGTACTGTCTTGCTTAAGCCACATCCTCAGCCTCCCTACAAACTCTTGATGAAGCCATTATCATTCTACAAGTTCTGCTCGTATGGTCAAGGGAAATAATGGTTTGATTGATAAAAGAAGTATGTTCGCAAAGACTTGTTAAATAATGCATCAGTACTCTTGGTTTTCAGCCCTAACTTTCAGTGAGAGTCCTTTGAGCCTGTTCAGATGGAAATCACAACAGGCAAGGGCTAGCCTCACCATGGGCAGCCTGAGTTCATGAGTGCAGAAGCTTTAGGCTCGGCTTGCAAACCCAGAGGCTTATTGCTCCAGGCCCTGAGACTGAGCTTTAGAATCAGAGAGTTAGAGCTCTAAGTGCCAGGCTAGAGGACTATGTTCTGGGCTTTGAGTACAGCAGCCCATTACCCAGCAGCTAGTGTTGTAGCTTCAAGTTAGAGGTGTCAGGTAGACTGTCCGGAACTCTACCACTGATCAGGGCTTTCAGCTCTCAGTCTTGGCTCTTCACAGCCTTCCACAGTCTCACATCTCTACAGTTCTGCTCCTGATGCTCTCTGGAACTCCTCAACCAGCTCCTCACTGCTGCTGTGTGAGTATGGGACTAGAGGCCTCAGGAATTCATCTGCTCCTAGTGTTACCAGCTCAGCCTGTTCTACCCATGATAAAGACCACTAAAGGCAATAAATGACCATTCAGCAGAAATCTTTATTTGGGTCTAGTGTTGTAGCACAGGAGGCCTAGAGAGAAACCTCCTGGACTGACTTGAAAAGGGTGAAAAACAACTTGCTTATATAGCCAGAGGAGGGATGTGGCATGCTTGTGCACAACCTCTAATTCCACGAATTACATCCTTGCATGTGCATGACTTCTATCAATGATGAGCATCACAGTGAAGATGAACCAATCACAACCTCACATAGGTATCGACTCCTTTCTGTCCATCACAGTCCTTTTGCTGAGTCACTAGAGGAAATGCTCTTCCTTCCCAACCTCATTGAGGACTCATATTACAAAAGGCCAGAGCAATCCTGAGGCGGGTCTTTTGGAGTAGCTGTGAGCTGTCAATCTGGAGGTCACCAAGACTTTTGTCACCACTGAAGTGAAGTCTGCTGGAGCTGGTGGTAGGCTATCAGGAGCAGCCATGGAGTGTTCAAAGTGGATAGGCTACCATGATGTCAGTCCAACCAGACTTACTGGAAGCACAAGGCAGCCAGGCACAAGGGAAGGATCTGAAAACTGTCAGATGGCTGGGTGGCTTGGCATGACAGCTTGGATCAATTCACAGGCTAAAACATCAGAAAGTGGTTACAATAAAGGCCTATCGTGGAATAACATTCTCAATCTTAATCATTACTTAACAGTGCTTAACTCTCAGCACTGGTGGAGGGCTGAGTCCTTCTGATTTGCCTCAGACCTTCCACCTTAAAACAAAACCAAAACTATACCTAATTGTGAAACATTTATATAGAATTATTTTTCAAATTCAACTTAGAAATGTAAACATGAGGCAAGAGGTATAGTATGTATATATATATATATCTATATATCTGTAGATATATAGATATATATATACACACACATTATTAGGTGATCTTATATACAATAGTTAATTTTTACAACCTTAGCTATACTTAAGTATAAGTTAGATATACTTAACTGTGCTTTATTTGAAAGGAAATGTTGTTTGATAAAGCTACTAACCATCAGAACTCGTTTTGAACTATCAATGTTCTCATTGTGCATTGCTGCCTCTAGAAAAACCTCTTTTAGATACTATTTCATCCTCATTTAAAAAAATTATATTCCCAACTTTATTGTGGAAAATTTGAAGAAACAGACAAGTATGAAGAAGAAAATAAAAGCCATTTGTAATACTATGACCCAGACATAACTGCTGTGAACATTTGGCAATTGACCAATCTATCTGTACTTACCTATCTATCCATTCATCTATCATCATTTATCTATCTAAGAATCATATTTTAAGTATGGTTTTATATCTCATGTTTTTCATTCTAGTACATTTTAAATATGTTTACATATTGTTAGCTTCAAAACACAATTCTGTAAAGCATTTTAATATAGGGTGTACAATTAACTTAGTCAGTTTACAGTGTTTTTTCTGTATTCTCTATCTTTAACTGAGAAAAGATAAGCTCAACTAAGTCAAATAAAGAAATGCAAAAATTTCTTTGGCTTAATGAAAGAACCAGAGGTAATAAAATTTTATTTTGATTTTAGAGAGTCCATGAGTAAATTATCCCATTTTCTGAATTGCTAGTTTCCATTTTTTCCATTTGCTTTTTTATAAAAATTAGATGATAGCACAACATATTAATAGGTTAAATGATGGTAGTTTGTAGAATCTGGTGGGTAAAAGGCAGGATATTAGAAGTTTACTTACAGCAAAACTGGATTTTGAGCCACCCACCAAGATGATTTGCCTATGAAGGTCAAATTCTTTAGTTCTTGAAATTAAATCCTTATGTGTCTACAAAGTAAGTGACCTCTCTGTGGCTTTCCACCTTCATTCCTTTTCTTGTAGAGCCTCCTTGACCATCCACAGGTTAAACCTAGCTCTTACATACTTTGAAAAGGCAATTGATAGCGTTATTGCTGCCAAGGGTGATAGCACGTCAGATCTGATCAGTCTCTACGAGGAAATTGCTCAGATTGAACAGCTGAGGAGGAACCATGGGCAGGCCATCCGGTATTTGAATCAGGTTAGTGCACTGGACAGGTGGCCTTTGGCCCAATTCCCAGAGCCAGAGAAGTTTGGGCTTCTAAGAACAAGGAGGTAGGATTGACTCCATGTTAACCCTGACTTCCTAAAAGGGTAGAATTGGTTCCATGTTAACCCTGACTTCCCTCTGGACCCACATAAAAGCCTATCATCAACCTTAAATGACCTGAGTAGAGAACACTGAAGTGAGCATACCTGCTCCGTGACCTGATCAGGAGACAAAGCTTTTCCTCTTGGACTTCTCTCTCACCTCTGTCAGTGTTGGGAAGAGGAAGTCAAGTGTGAGGCTACTCAAGACAACTACATCAGGGCAACTAAACTTGTCTCCAGCAAACACAAGGACCTCTTAAGTGAAAAAACATGATATTTTGGTATAATGTTATCATTTGTCCTTTAAGTTAATCTAGATAGTTGTACTTTCAAGTCTAAAATTAAACTAACAAAACAATATTTCACTTGAATATAACTAACTTGACAAATGCCCAGGGAAAAACCAACCAAAACAAAACATAGGAAGGAATGTTGAGTCTATCATATGAAAACAGTTTAAGATACTTTTATGTGTCATGTATTTCAAACTCCTAGTTAACTTAATCTTTTCGTTCTTCTAAGTGAGAATGCTGCTTGTGGCCTCAGATATCTCCCATAGCCACAAACAGAGCAAAATGCTAGGTTTTATGTGCCATAGAAAAGTTGCAATGCAGTCTAATAGTATACATGACAACAATCAGATACCCAAAGAAAAGGCACTGCAAACAATGTAACAGTCCAAGATTATAAGCATCTTTGCAGTGGAGAAATTTTAGGGCTCCTGCTCTATGGCAGGGATTTACTGCATACAGAGAAAGCCAGGCTGGGTTTCTTAAAGCAGTGGTCAGATCAGAACAGATAAAACAATATCAGTGTTTACCAACACCATCAAAAAAAAAGTTAAAATTTATGGAATGCTTTTACTATGTGCACCCGAGACTGTACTAATTCATTTAATCCTATGATAATCCTATGAAGTAGATATCATTATTTTATCTCATTTTAAGGATAAAAACCTGAAGCACAAAGTTATAGCTATACTTCGCCTGAAGTTGTACAGCTAACGAGTAGCAAAATAGGGATTTGAACTCAGAAAATTTAACCATAGACCCTATACTTATAGCAACTATGCTCTGTGTCTTGGCTCCAAAGTGTTATGTGATATTCCCTTCAGCTCCTTGAAATGCCTCATGGAATGTAAAGCACAGGTGATTCTTTCTTGCTGGTAGGCATGGGCTAGATGTTTTCACTCTTCTTTCCTAAGTGGTGCTCCTTCCATTTTAGCACAAATAATAAAAATAATATCTTACACTTCTTTAATGGGTACAAAATGCCAGGTAATGTTCTAAACACTTTACATGTATTGCTTTATTTAATTTTACAAAAGCTGCTTGTGACAAATACTATGTATATCATCTGTTTTCTGTTTTACATTTATAGAGATTAAGGGACCCCCCCTTATATTATGATAAATGCCTGAGATGGATGGAACTGAGGTAGAGTGGCTCTCAGATCCATGCTTTATGACCGTCTTTGATACTAAACCTTTGAGAGGTTGAGCTAAGGTCATAATTACAGGTGCTATGAAACCTAGTAAAAGTAATGCCAGCTAACAGTCATTGGGAACTTACCACGATGGGTACTGCACCCAGTGCTTCACAGTAGGAACCTCCCACACAAAAGATGGAATTACTTGCTGAAAACTTACAGCTAAGAAGTGAAAGAGCTAGAACTCATACTCATCTCATATCTAACTCTGTGAGCTATACATTGACTCTCAATAAAATAGTAATTCTATGAATGGTGCTGTTGTTTGGGTTGGTACCTTGTCATGATTTTCTTTTTTTTTCCAGGCCTTTTCTATCTGTGTTTCTTCATTCACTGAAATCAGCCCACAAACTGCAGGGGCAAGTGCATTATTAGCCAAAGCTTATGCCATGTCTGGGGAGCCCCAGCACAGGGGTAGGTGGAAGTTACCATCATTTTCCAGTGACATAAAAAGTACACTAGTGAATGATATACCTCTAAGTAATATCATGGTTAGCTACTCATTCCTCTAATGAAAGATTTGGCTCTCATGATTTTGTACAAAATCAATTACACATGAATTTTAACCTAATCTCCCCCAAATTAGTCGGAGCATCACAACTAATAAAATCACCTAATTTCTATTTCCTTTATTCCCCTAGAATCTCAGCAAAATTTACTTTTATAAAAATGTAGAAATTTATACTGTAAATATGACTTGTGATACATTGGCTGATGAGGAAATCCAGTGATAAAAGAGGAAAACATTGGTTTCCCCTCTCCTCTTCCCCCTCTTTTAATCTCCTTGACTCTTTTCCTCTGAGGTATAAGAGAGAATGTTTGTAGCAGTTAGAATTTTCTTGACCTATATTTGAGGTACTAGGTTCTAGAGGAAAGCCATGTGATTAATTTATCCTTCAATAACAGTTCTTTGTCTGGCAAAGTTATCTTTTTGAAAGTGGTGGCTGTAGGAGAGACACAGATGAACTGGTGAGAGAGGGGAGTGTATCATTCTTAGCTGGCTTGATCAGATTAATGGACAGTGGTGGAGTTGATGCCCTGCCAGGAGGAATTTACAACTTGTGAAGGACACAATTTGAGCATTTTAAAAATGTTTTTTCTTCTGCTTATAAAAATAATCACTTTTTTGATCTATGTTATTTTCTAGTTGGAGATAGGAAAATAAGGAGGTAGGTAGGCAGAGATCAGGAGGCTTGTGGTTTGAAGCCAGTGGGCAAATAGTACTCAACACAAAAAAAGCCTGGTGGAGTAGCTCAAGTGGTAGAGTGCCTGCCTAACAAGCATAGGCCCTGAGTTCAAGTCCTAGTACTGCCACAAAAGAAAAATAGTCTTTGTGGTTATAAGAAGTTTTATGTGAGAAAATCCCAAAATTTGTGTCTATGAAGTTGAGAGATTCCAAGGCCACTTTCTCTTTTTCTTCTATACTATTTTTTAATGTTAAAGAAAATATATTGGGCCAGGCTTGTGTCACACACTTGTAATCTCAGCTATGTGGTAAGTGGAGATGGGAAGATCATAGTTGGAGACCAACCTGGGCAAAAAAGTTATTGGGACCCTATCTCAAAAAAAAAAAAAAAAACAAAACCTCAAACTTGGTGTTACACTTCTGCAATCCCAGCTATTTGGAAGATAGAACTAGGGGGATGATGGTCTAAGGCTGACCCTGGGCAAAAGAGAGACCCTTTCTGAAAAAACCTAAAGTAAAAGAGGCTGGAGATGTGGTTTAAGTGGTAAAGTACTTGCCTAGAAAGCTCAAGGCCATGAGTGCAAACCTCAGTACTGCAAAGAAGAGGAAGAGGAGAAGGAAGAATAAGGAGAAGGAGAAGATGATTTTTTAGGTCATATCATTCACTAAATTAAATTCCAGATAAATTAGAATTTTATACATCAAAACTGAAAATATAAATTAGCCAGAAGAAAATATAATACTAGAATAGAAAATACTAAAATCAAAAAATGGAGGGAAGAACATTGTAAGCATGCATCATAAAGATAATCATAGAAGAGCTTGGCAGATTTAATTACAAAAAGATCCAAAACTGTGCCAGTCACAAAGTACTGTATATAAAACTAATAACAACTCAGCAAGGATGAACAAGCAACCTAAATAGTTAGACTTATTAAAATCGGTTTAGCTGGGTTTAATGGCACATACCTGTAATTCCACCTACTCAGGAGGAGGAGATGTGAGGATTGTAGTGCTGGGCTAGCTTGAGCAAAAGTTAGTGAGACCCTATCAAAAAAAATGCTGAGTGTTGTGGCACACATGTGTAATTTCAGCTACTTGGATGGCAGGGCAGGGGGATTACAGTTTGAGTCTGATGTGGGCAAAAGTGAAACCCTTTATGAAATGCAAACAAAAAGCATAAGGGATTGGGGTGTATAGCTAAAGTGGTAGAGCATTTAGTTAGCAAGTACAAGGTCCTGAGTTCAATCCCCAGTATGACCAAAAAAAATCTGCAGTTAGCCCCCCACCCCACCAAGAAAGAAGTCTGGTGCAGATGATTTCACTGTGGAATTCTAACTAACACTTAAAGAAGGAATACTACCAATTCTACATAATTTCCTCCAGAAAATCCAAGAAGGAGGGGAAACTCTTCCTGATTTTATGAGACCAAAATTACCCTTATGCCAAATCTGGGCAAAGTGTTACAAGAAAAAACAAAAGCAACTACAGACCAGTTCCTTTATGCATGGAGACAAAGAGCTCTGACTAACATGTTCAAGATACTAACAGACAGTACAGAAGAACAGATGGGCAGAATTCTTACTTCCGTTTTATTCATGGGGAGCAGAAATGTCTCTCCTTTTTCTCTCATTTCTCCCCATTTTTATCCTGTTATACTAAATTCCTTTCCTAATAAACTTTACTACCATTTTTCACTACTAAAACAAAGATGGGAAATATTTGTAGAGAGATTGAAATACTAATAATCAAAAAGAAATACTGAAGATCAAAATCACTGTAACAGAAATAAAGAATGCCACTGATAGACTCATTTAGTAGATTGAATGTAGCTGAGGGAAAAATCTCTGAAGTTATGAATATCTTAATAGAAACTGAAAAACACAGAGAAAAAATGATTGAGAAAAAGTAGAACACGATATTCAAGATCTGTGGGTCAACTACAAAAACTGTGATGTACATGTAATGGGAATACCCAAAGGCAAAAAAGGAAAATAACAGAAGAAATGTATGAAGCAATAAGAACTGAGAATTTCTCCATTTAACGTCAGACCCTTAACTGCAGACCAGGAAGTTAGATAACATCAAGTAGAATAAATGCCAAAAAACAAAGAAAACTTCACAAACCAAACCCTAACCTATACCTAAGAATATAATATTCAAACTACAGAAAATCCAATATAAAGAAAAACTTTGAAAGAAGCTGGAAGGTCAGGAGAAGAACACCTATGCATACAGGAGCAAAAGTAAGCATTACATCTGACTTCTCCTCGAAAACTGTGCAAGCAAGAGGTCAGTACAGTGAAATATTTAGTCTTGTGAGAAAACACCCACCAGCTTAGAATTCTTTAGCCTGAAAAATTAACCTTGAGAAGTGATAGAGAAATGAAGATTTTATTACACAAACAAACAAAAGTTGAGAGAATTTTTCATTAGTAGACATGCCTTTCAAGAAATGTTAGAAGTAGTTCTTTAAGAAAAATTATGTAGGTCAGAAACTCATATACACAAGGAAAGGAGGACCGTTGAGAATAAAAGAGTGGCAATAAAATAGAAACTTATTTTTCTTATTCTTAATGTAACAGATAGCAGCTTGTTCAAAACCATAACAACTATGTAATCAATTATGCATGCTTGTGTATTCACCTGTATATTTGTGTATAAGTATTTTTGAAAATGCAAACACAACATCAAAATGTGTGGAATGCAATGAAAGTGATGCTTAGAAAGTTACAGCACTAAATTCAAATGTTAGAAAAGAACAAATGATCTAAAATTGATAATAGGAACTTCCACCTTAGGAAACTAAAGAAAGAACAAATTAATTCCAAGAGAAGAAAAGAAATAATAAAAATCATATTAGAAGTAAATGAAATTGAAAACAAGAAATCAAAAAGTAAAATTAGAGCTGGTGGAATGGCTCATATGATAACAGTGCTTGCCTAACAAGAGGGAGGCCCTGAGTTCACACAAAAACAAAAGGAAAAAAGAAAATCAAATCATTTTCTTAGAAAAACATCAATAAAATAAAAAAAATCTATGGCCAGACTAAGTTAGGAAAAAATACAGTTACACAAATTGCTAATACTTAAAAATGAATGACAGGACATCACTACAGATCTCATGGACATTAAAAATAATAAAGGATTGGGCACCTGGCTCACGTCTATAATCCTAGCTATTCAGGAGGCAGAGATCAGGAGGATCATGGTTTGAAGGAAGACAGCCCAGGCAAATAGTTCAGGACACCCGATCTCAAAAAAACCCATCACAAAAAAGGACTGGCAGAGTGGCTCAAGCCTGCCTTGTAAGCATGAAGCCCTGAGTTCAAACTCCTGAGTTCAAACCCCAGTGCCACTAAATAATAATAAAGGAATATTATGAAAAATTCTAGCCCCACAAATTTCATAATCTATATGAAAAAAAAAGGATGATTCTATGGTAATATAATCTGCCCGAACTCACCAATCGGCTGTTTGAATAGGCCTACATAGTGAATAAACTGAATCAGTAATGATCCTAAACCAAAAGCACCAAACCCAGAGGGTTAATCCTACTAAACACTTAAGAAAGAAATTATACCGTTTTGTCAGTATTGTACACCTGTTATCTATCAAATGATTCAAGGTCTTACTCTGAGAGTAAAAACTAAGTTAATATATGTGTATGATATATGCAAAACTGTGATGTTAACTGTTGCTGGCCCCCTTGTATGTTAAATGTGTTTGTGGTCTCCAAGTATTTAAGTCTTCTAAAATGTAACATTTTAAAAGTACTGTACAAACTGGTATCCTCCAGATGAAAACTGTCATTGATGGTAGTCTTTTACAGGTTTGTGTGCATGTATTGTTAATTGTAACAAGGAGAGCTTAATAGTGCTGATATAATGCTGTCAATCATAATTTTTATCCTAAAATGCTATATGCAATGAAAATAAGTTATTGTAAATTGCCAAACATTTAAAAAATTCTAACAATGATTAGTGGTTTTGTCATCTGCAGTTTGAATCTTTCTCTAAGGCATTTATGATCAAACTCATGGAAAATATCTCTTGCAAATACTTATTTTTCAAATATTTATTCCTGAAAATATATTTTTTCATCATTTATTTTTATATTTTCCCTGTAAAACTTTGTACCTTTGTCTTTTCTTCAAAAGTATAACTCTACCTAATAAAATACTAAGAGCATTTTTAAGACCTACAAGAAAAACAAAAGAAACCATACCGATTCTGTACAGCCTCTTCCAGGAGAAAGAAGCAGTGAGAATACTTCCTAACTCTATGAGGCCAATATTACCCCAATTCCAAAATTAGACAAAGTTATTACACTATTACTCCATGCCAATATCTCTTATAAACATAGACACAAAAATCAACAAAATATTAGCAAATTGCATTCATCAATATATACCACAGCCAAGTGGGATTTATCCAGGTATGCAAAGCTAGTTCAACACTTGAAAACTAATGTATCAAGCTAACAGGATAAGGAAGAACAATCACATAATCATATCAGAAGATGAAGAAAACATTTGACAGAATCAACACTCACTCATGATAAACACCTTCCAGAAAACTAGGATTATAGGGAGATTTCCTCTTCCTAATAAAGAACATTGCTATAATTAGATATGGTTTGAGTACATACCTCAGAAGTTCATGTGTCAGAAACTTGGTCCCTAATGTGAGAATGATTAAGAGGTGCCTTAAAAGCTGGGACCTAGTGGGAGGTCATTAGGAGTGTTCCCCTTGGAAACAATTAATGTAGTTATTATGGGATCCTGGTTATTTTCAAAAGACAGTTGTTATAAAAGAGTGACACTGGCCTTTCTCTCCTGTCTGGCTTCCTGTCTTGCCATCTCTTCCTCTGTGCTCCCACTGTGCTTCCTATATCATGATGTGATATAGGAGGGAAAACCCCAGCCAGAGCTAGCACCATGTTGTTTGAACTTTCAGCCTTCCAAACTGGGGGCTAATTAAGCCTCTTTTCTTTATAAATTACCCAGCCTTGGGTAGTTCATTATAGCAATAGGAAACAGACTAATACAAACATCTACAAAACCTGTACAATTAAAATCATTCTTTTTTTGTGGGGGGGGACTGGGATTTGAACTTAGGCCTACATGCTTGCAAAGCAAGTGTTCGACCACTCTAGCACATATTCAGTCCATTTTGCTCTGGCTATTTTGAAGATGGGATCTCACAAACTGTTTGCCTGGGCTGGCCTCAAACTTTGATCCTCCAAATCTCAGCCTCCTAATAACTAGGATTACATTATTCTTAATGGTGAGAAACTAGAAGCTTTTTCACTAAGAGCAGAAACAAGGCAATAATGTTATCTCAACACTCCTTTTCAATGTCATACTAGAAATCCTAACTAATGCAATAAGGAAAGAAGGAAGAAATAAAACTGTTTTGCTTGCAGAAGATATGATTGTCTAATTAGAAAATCTAAAAGAATCATCAACAACAAAAACCTCCTGGAACTAATAAGTGATTATAGAAGATATGTAGAATACTAGGTTAATGTACAAAAGTCAATTGCTCTGTATGCGAATAATGAACAAGTAGAATTTCAAATTAAAAACAGTACCATTGTATTAGTGCCCCAAGAAATAAAATAATTAGGTATAAAGCTAACAAATACATATAAATATATATGAGAAAAACTATAAAATCTGATAAATCAAATAAATAAGCAGAGCTATATCTCACGTTCATGGGTAAGAAGACAATATTGTCAAGATGTCAGTTCTTCCCAATTTGATCTACAGATTCAACTCAATTCCAGTCAAAATCCCCAAAAGTTGTTTTGTAGATATTGAGAAGTGAATTGTAAAATAAAGTTTTTATGGAGAGGCAAAAACCCAGAATGGCTAACATAAATTTGAAGAAGAACAAAGATGGAGAACCGAGACTACCAGACTTCAAGACTTAGTAAAGTTTTACAATAATCAAGGCAATAGTGAATTGGAAAAAGATTCCCATTGTCTCTGTATACTTTCTAGATTGACTACATAAATATCTATTACATTTGGAATAAAAGACAATATTAAAAGTAAATTTTTAAATAGTAACAACTGCATACTTATGAACTTTTAAAATAACAATCCTCCCACTATATGTAACCCCCACCCCCCCGCCAGCAATGGTCTCTATTAGAGTTTTACCTGAAAATACAGTCTTGTAGTGCACCTGACAGTTTAATATGGTAGTTACTTTGGTTCTTAGAATAATAAGACTGTTCATACAGAAGCTCTCTTTTCCTACATAAAATCTATGTATTTCATCATGAGAACACCAGTGTCATAGATTATACCAACCACTTTTTAAGGGTACTTACCAAATCTGAGAGGAGAGCCCAGCACGGACTTTATCCCTGAAAATGTCAATTGAGCCAAAGCTGATATTAGACATTTGTGAAGACTAACAGTTTGCCTTAAATAATTGTTTTCACTTTCTAGCTGCTGTTGAGATATATTTTATAAAAAGTATCAGTGCATATAAAGCAACATTGGGCTCAGAGGATTATGAAACATTAGCCACTATTGAAGACTTTTGCAAATGGCTTGTTCAAAATGGAGAGAAACAGGTAAGAATCATGTCATAGGCATAATTACTAGGTTATTCACTAGATCTAGACAGCCTTTTTATCTCACAATTCAGAAACTGGAGCTCAGACAAGTCCCAGGTGAACACAGGAGTAACACACAGTGCTGATGCTGCTTAGAGTATTAGTAAAAATATTTTTCTTATATTTTGATGCATGATGTCCTCCAAATCCAGGAGATATATATATATATATATATATATATATATATATATATATATATATATATATATATATATACTATAACTTCCTAAATTTGATATTTTGAGTAAAAATTGGCTTCTACATTTGGATTTTTCTTTTATGGTGGTGTTTTCCTCTCAGCCTTGCCTTTAGCTCTTACTAGCCATAATTTTGTTTCCACACTTAAAAAGCTACAGAATATGCTTTTGATTGCTGAAAGTTTTACTTAGAAGTTCTGTGAGTCTAAGATATTGCTCAAAAACTTTTGGCTTGAGCTTTATGTAAACATAGTAAAGACCTTTGTCTGTCATGAAATCTTATACGATTTTGATCTGACCAACCCACTCTAGATTTCCTCAGGCAAGTGAGAGACATGGGTATTTTTGATACAACCTCATTGGCCATATGACAACCAGTCTAGAAGTAGAGCATTAGGCAAACAATAAATAAGAATTATTTTCACGAGTGAAGAAAAGTTTTTATACCATGTTCAAACATTTCTTTTTAAAATATTCTTTAGTATTTGTGAAAGTAAAATAGCTTATAGTGATTTGCAATATTTTTCCTATGCCTGTGGTATTTTCTGTTGGTTCCAAAGATTAGCATGAGAGCTCAATGTCACAGATTAATCTTATGTTTATAATTTTACTTTTCAAAGATGTGAAAATGCTTTGTCAGAATTTCTTAGTGTGTTGTTTTCTGGTGTATTAAATATCATGCCCTTGTTTGTAAAAAAGCACAATTACCAATGCCTGATGGCCCTCTGCTTTTAACTAGGTCCTATCTAGTGTACCAAGCTTCTCAACAAAGACATAAAAAAATTTGAGTGTCAGGTAACTCTGGATGTAAATCAAATGCAGGACTTTGGACAGGTCACTTTTACAACTAGAAAGCAAGCTCTACAAAGCAGATTCTTGTCTGTTTTGTTCACTGCTGTGTACCCAGTGTCTCAATTGGTAACTAGCACACAGTAGGTGCTCAATAACTATTCAATGAAATTGCCAAATTTTATAATACATTTCCTGTTTTTAAAGGAACTCTTTTCTCTACCCCTAAGCCTGATAAAAGAGGGGTGATATGAGCCTGTTTTAGGGGACCACAACAGAAACTCAGTTGTCTTGGTAATTGGGTTCTCATGGAATATAATTTCTTTTTGGTAAATAACAGGGCTAATTTGCCACTGATAAAAAAATAATCAGGACTGCTTTTTCTGTAACCACCATCTTTCAGTAATTCATAAAAATGAAAAACACAAAGAGAGGTATGTTCTCTAGCGCTTTTAGAAATCAAGGAGTTACTCCTTTTGTTTCTATAAGGAAGATGGTATTGTAAACATTTACTTATAAAAATCAATCGTTGTAACATACCATCTTAATAAAACAAAGGATAGAAATCATTTGATCATCACAAAGATGCATAAAAATTTGATAAAATTCAATACCTTTTCTTGATAAAAATAGTCAACAGACTAGGAAATTACCTCAACATAATAAAGACCATATATAAAAGGCCCACTGTTAATACCAAAATCAATAGCAAACAACTGAAAGCTTTTCCTCCAATTGAAAGTTATAGATCAGGAACAAAACTTTTTCTCAACATTGTACTGGAAGTACTAGCCAAAGCAATTAGGTAGAAAAAGAAATAAAAAGCATCCAAATAGAAAAGGAAGAAGTAGATTTATGCTGCAGAGTTATAAAATGTTACATAGAAAGTTCTAAATATTCCATGTGCCTACAAAACATTTATTAGAGATGATAAATTCAAGTTGCAGAAAGCAAAATAAATAAGCAAAAATGTACATTACTGTATATTACTAACAACCTGAAAAGGAGAGTGAGAAAACAATCCCATTAATAACAGCATCAAAAGGAATAAAATACTTAGAAATAAAATTCACCAGGTAGTTGAAAGATTTGTATACTGAAAAAGTAAACAAGAAAATAATGTAATTAATCTGCATGTTTCCTACTCTGAAAAATGCAAAGGCATTTCAGAGCCCTGAGATTACTGAAATACTGATGATGTTTCCTGAAAAGCAGCAGTTGATGTCCTTTTAATATTTGTTATTCAATTACTCACTTAAAGGGTAATGATTACATGTTCAACTTAGTTCTGAAGAAATATTCTGTTTATACGTGCTAACATAGATAATGTAGGTAATGCAATGTGCAATTCTTGAGGCTCCAGCAATAATGAAAACTCTTCACTATCTCTAAAGAAAGCATATTGGGAAGGCAAATAATCTCAAGCAATATGATGAATGATTTCCATTCATACACTAAAATTTTTGTTGTACAGTAGTTAAGAGTGAGCACTGGACTAAAAGACAATTGGCTTGGAATTTTTAAAAAATGTCAATGTTATGAAAGACAAAGGACAGGAGAACTGTTGTAGATTATATAAGACTTAGGAATTATGAAAACTAAATGCAATTTATGATTATTGATTATAAAATACATTTTAAAATTTATAAAGAGGATGGTGGATTGGCTTATGTGATAGAGTGCCTGCCTAGCAAGTGTGAGGCCCTGAGTTCAAACCTCAGTATCACAAAAAAGTTATAAAGAACATTATTGGAAGAACTGGAAAATTCATAGATGGAATATAAGTTAGGTTAATAGTATATTGATGTAAAGTTTATTGAGTGATAATGTTATTGTAGTTATATTGGAGAATATTCTTGTTCTATGAAGACATATTTAAATATTTAGAGGGAAAGTATCTTGATGACTACATCTTATTTTCAAGAAAAATGTATATATAAACACATTTAACTGTGTATGTGTATATATATGTAAATATATGTTTTGAAAATGAGCACAATAAAGCAAATTTGGAGAGGTGGTAGGTATTTGTGAATCTAAGTTAAAATTTTTTCAGTATTCATTCTATTATTCAGCTTTTCTGAAGATTTTAAATTTTGTTAAATAAAATGTAGGTGAAGGAGATTGATATTACGGAATTCAGACTGTCTGGCTTTTGAATTCTGACACTGTCAACTATAAGTTCTGTGATCTTGGGCAAGATCCTTAGCTGTTATTAGTCCTGTTCCTTTATCTGTAAAATGAGCATAATAGCTCCTTTCTCATAGAATAACCATGAATGATATACATATGAAGTAACTATTATTAATTATAAATATTATTGATCATAAGCCTGGAACTCTTAATAGAAGCATATTACTTAGGTAACCTATTATAACTGACTGATCCTGATGGGTTATGTCATTGTGGGATAGGATACCTCCTCCACAGAACTCATGGCATAGAACTGCCAGGTTGAGCTTATTTAAAATTCTTTATCCTCTTCTAGGAGGCTTACAGACTGCTAAAGGCTTCTTTGAAGTCCCAAGTCATCAACTATAGTGACTGTAATGAAAAAGTGGCTGAAACTGTTTATAACATGGGCAGGATCTGTTTTGCCAAAGGCAATTCAGCTGCTAAGGAAGGTGAGCTAAGGAAGCCTCTGCCTGGTTTTGTTACATTTTCTCCTGGGTTTATGAGCAGAATATGAGGAATGTTGTACGTATATATGTATGAATTTTTCTTCCGTTCCCTTCCCTTCCTTCTGAGTTGTACAACCAATAAGTATACTTACAGAATCAAGGCTAAAGACTTTGTAATGTAGATAGAGATGGCTCTATGTGAAATCTAAGTTTGTTCAAAGTCAGAGGAAAAGACACTAAAGATCAACTAATATTTAAGTGAGCCAAGGGTGAAAGTCAGAAGCAATCCACAAATGTACACTAGCAAATGTAAGACCTGGAGAGATTTTCATCTCATTTCTGGTTAACAAAATGTAGATAGAAAACAGTAAATAACAGGAGAAAGGTGACTTAATTTAAACATTCAGAGATAAAGAAAGCCTTTTGAAAATAAGTTGCAGGAGCCAGAGTAGCTTCTCCAAGGGAAGCATGAACACACAGATGGCATTATGCAATGAGGACAAAAACCTAGAAAGAGAGAAGACTTCACAATGAAAGAATGATAATTTGAGGCCAAAAGAATAGATTAAAAAATGCTAAGAATGAAATGAGAAGGGTTCCAGGGAAGCAACAAATAAATAAAACTCAAATTCACATTGAAAATAATGAAGACAGCCAGGCACTGGTGGCTCATGCTTGTAATCCTAGCTACTCAGGAGCAGAGATCAGAAGGATTGCAGTTCAAAGCCAGCTGAGGCAAATAATTCACAAGACTCTGTCTTGAAAATACCCAATACAAAACAGGACTGGTGGAGTGGCTCAAGTAGTGGAGCACCTGCCTAGCAAGTGTGAGGCCCTGAGTTCAAACTCCAGTATTGCCAAAAATACATATAAAATAATGAAGAGAATGAAGACAGTCTTAACATGCTAATGTTGAACAATAGTACTCCAATCTCAAATCAGTCAGTAAAAAAAGACAAAATCAGAATTCTGAACCTCACACCATCTGAATCAGTTCTGAGTTGTGTTCAGAAGCGTATTTTTAATAATTCAGAGGCAATTTTAATATCCTACTGATTTTAAAAATCAATGACTTATAAGACAAACTTGAAAAGCTCTTTGAAATGAAAGGAATATAGTGAAAAAGTGGTTGATGTAGATGACAAAGTAGGGATTCAGCCAATGAACTGTATACATCTCCAAAGAAGAAAATTATTATAGTTTCCAGTTATATCTATATTGTTTCCAATTACTGTACTGGAATAGAAGCTGCAAAGAGATCACTGAAGAAAACTTTCCTGAAATAAAAAAGACCTAGTGTACATTTTAAGAGCTTACCATGTTCAACACAAAATCATAAAAAGAGAACCCCT